ACATCCAAGTGCACAGAAAAGATGGTTTTACTTACTTACAGTGCTTTGCTTTTGTTATTTCAAATCTGCAAAGAATACACAGGAAAAATCTCCTGGACCTGTGTAATGGAGAACCAGAAGCACAAACTCATTACTCCCCAGATAGACACAGTAGGATAGCTTAAATGTTACTTGCCTTCCGTCAATCCAAAACTTGTGTGACAATTGATAGGCATTCTCTTCCTAAAGTCACATGTTGTAGGCTAAAGGTACAAAACCTAAGCCTTTACTGAAGAGACCTGTAATCTACTAGACTAACTTTTACAAGGAAGGGAAAAACTCTACCCAGTGATACTGCACACTCTTTTGCACATATAATGTTCCAAATTCAATGTATGGCATCTCCACGTAGGACTGGGAAAGACTCTTTTACTGATTTTTCTTTTTCTTTATGTCTATTTTACAATTTTAATATTGATAAGGTTTAATTGACTTTCATCACTTTTCATATGCTGCTTGTCTATCCCAGGACAAACTGGGATTTGTTTTAAGTATGGTTTGTGCAAAAAAGGCCAACTTCAAATTGTGGCTTATGATCCTGAGATTACTCAGAGTATAGTTAAAACCAATCACTGTTAGCCTTGTTTCAGACATGACAAAAAAAAACTGTGGTGTAGTGGATGCTTCTAATGTTCTCCTTGTGAAAATGCCAAATGCCTTAGAGATTTTTCTTTTTAGGTGACTAATTAATTAATTAATTAATTAATGTTCTCACATAATGGTTCACACAAAACAGACATCATCATAGTTCTAGTTACAGGTAGGTAGCCATGTTGGTCTGCCATAGTCAAAACAAAATAAAAAAATGCCTTCCAGTAGCACCTTAGAGACCAACTAAGTTTGTTATTGGTATGAGCTTTCGTGTGCATGCACACTTCTTCGACAGCATCATAGTTGAAGAGGCTGCCTCTCTCTCTCTCTCTCTCTCTCTCTCACACACACACACACACACACACACATACACACTTTCCAAGACTTTCACTTCATGGCAGGCCAGTTGCAAGAGTTATGAAGAAACAGCTACACTTGCAGGTATGTTAGCGCTACCACCTTTTTCCTGATAGAGGCTCTGTCCCATTAATAGAATAAAAACTCAAAAACTGTGGCTTTCCCTGTCTCCATGCCAGAACAAATGATGACTTGAATTTATGCCTATTATATCAGTTGATGATACAAATATTCTTGTTTGGAAGAGAAAAAAGGCAACCGTCTATAGAAGGATCTATATTTTAGTAAACACACTACTGCTTTCACTTTAATGACTCACTAAAGGCAGCCCTCCTCTACATTTGTCTATGTCAAGCATAGGCAAACTCAGCACTCCAGATGTTTTGGGACTACAACTCCCATCATCCCTGACCACTGGTCCTGTTAGCTAGGGATGATGGGAGTTGTAGTCCCAAAACATCTAAAGGGCCGAGTTTGCCTATGCCTGGTCTATGTACTTATTTGCAGGGACAAATGCTCCCCCCCCCATATATACATAAACTGGAACAGTGCCTGTATTGAAACATAACACTAACTCATCATATACTACTACATAAGCAAGCAGGGCTGTGCCCACGTCTTCTCCCTTCCCATCTAGGGCATCTACTTGGAGATCAGAAGCATTCGCCTTAGTTTTCAACTAACTGGAACAAACAGATTAAGCATTTTAAGCATTTCCCCCCCCCCAAAAAAAGCCAACTTCAAACTATGGTTTCTGACCCTGGGCTGCACAGACAAAACACAGTTAAAGGTAAATTTCCATTTACTCAAAGGCATAACAGAAGACAAGGAGGGAGAGGAACAACTCATGAACATAACACTAAACTTTGGTTTAACCTTTTATCTAACTGCAATTTTCTCAGGATCCAAGACTAGCACATTAAAGTATGCTATTTATTCACTTAGGTTATTTGTACACTGCCCGTCATAAAAGTTAAATCCAGGCTTGATAGTCTTGTAATCCTGACCACATTGATTGAGATCTGAAAACTAACCACAGAAATATCAGCTTTCATTTTTTTGAAATTTCAAGCCTATATGGTCACAGAAAATGAACGTGTTAGATTTTTAAAAAGTTAAAATACATATAAGATCATCCTATTAGCTGGTGCAGTATGGCAGTTGAGTCCCCAGTTTAAATGTCCTCTCTGCCGTGAATTCACTAATGTCCTTCAGCAAGCTACTGTCTTGTAACCTCAGATCCCTTCTGCAGTATGGCTACAATACTGATTAACTTACAAGGGTGTTGTTGGAAGGATATCAAGAGTGTTCAAAGTGCTACAAAAACATTAAAAGTGCTATATAAATAATGAGTATTAGAACAATTTCCATATCTAATATATGCTACATTTATTTATTAAAAATTATACCATAGTCCATTTTGGCTCATTATTATGGATAACTACGAAAATCTTAGATCAAGTCAAGAAAGCAGATTACTGAACAAGTAAATCATTTTATAAGCTGACAATAATTATTAGTTACTTCTCTGAAATAACTAACAAAATTGAAGTTGGAAAACACAATGGGATTGTGACCAGGCCTATTTAAAGTATATGCAGTTCATAGACACTGCTGGTAAAGACAGATTTACCGTATTCACTCGAGTCTAATGCATCATTGAATCTAATGTGCACCTCAATTTTCAGAACCTTGAAACCAAAAAAGGTATTTGCAGGCAAATGTAAATGTGTCATTGAATCTAATGTACAACTTAATTTTCGCAATGTAATTTGGCAAAAAAAGGTGAGCATTAGATTTGAGTAAATACGGTAGATATGACAACTAAACACTACTAAGCATTTTCTTGTGAAAAAGAGTGCATGAAAGCTACATGTATACCGTCGTATGTGATATTCATGTGTTAGAAAGCAACAACAGTTTCTAAGCACATATAGGCTGCCAAAAAAGAAGCATACACAATTGCCACCTGTGACCTATATAATAGTTACAAACATTTTCTTATTGAGTATGTTTTGAAAGGCATCAACACTTGGAGACCCCCAATCAAATAGGTCCCAATGAAACAAAAGCCACAAAAGACAATAAAATACCTGCTGCTTCATACCCACCCGCTTTATGGAAATATATACTGGGCAAGTCTCCTTTAACATCCACTTAACTTGCGTCTCCAAAAGCTGTAAAGCCAAACGTAACTACTGCACCATGCCCATATATTACATATTTGTATTACATAGTTCAGAGACTCTGGATTCAGAAAGACAGTGATTCAGTCCACACACACCCCTCCAATTTTAGTTTCCCCCATACTTTTTATCTTGAGCTGATGAGCAATGGCCCTATTTTCATTCCCACAGTCCCCAGTGTGGCTTGCCCCAGCGTGTGAATACTGAAAATAATGGTGGGTGTTATTATGAGTTTATGGGTGCCAGACTCCTATAATCCATGGATCCAGAAAGTGTTAGAATTTAATCAACTCTTGGTGTGTTAAACTGAGGGCCGGAAACATCCAATCCCTAGATCCAGCAATTGTTAACAGCTAATTAAGCCAAGCTACCTTCTTGTGCTGAGGAGATCTCCTGGATGGGTTATTAAGAAAACAAAGGATCAAGGGGCTCCTTGGAGATGGCAAATGGGTGGGGGCACCCACCAGCAAAATATAAAGCCAGAGTTTAGAGTAGAGAGGTGAGGAAATCAGTGATATGATGGGGGGGGAGTCAGAGAGCAATGTTTAATGCCTGCTTGAATCTAATACTGTGGTTATAGAGAAACAAGACCCTTTTGGGGTGTTCGATACTGTGAACCTGTCCACTGTAGGCTCAGGTTGTATATATGTGTAAATAAACCATGTCACAAAGACACCACAGTCTCCACTGTGCCTCATTTCCAGAAGGAAACACAAACATTGGGTGAGCACCTGCAACCCCTGGAATCTTGCACTGCTCAGAGATTGGGGTGGCAGACAATGATATATTGAAAACAGGTTCAGAAGAAGAGGCACCTAGCATTACTAAAGAGAAGTGATATGAAGCAGAAAATTCTCCAAAACAGAAAAGTTTCCAACTCTTTATTTTTCTGCAGCACATTTAGTGTTTCAAAAGTTGATTAGTAATAACAAATGGATACCAAATACACTATTAGGCAAACTTGGCATTCAATGCTTTTAGCTTTGTTTACTAAGTAAAACAAACATTCTACATTAGATCTCAGGCATTTAAAAGTTCTGATTTATGTTGCCATATGCACATTCCCCTAATTTCAAATCTTTTCCAGAAAACCTACATCACAGCTAGAGAGTGAAACTGAGAACTGCTGCAAAACCTAGAGTAACAGGAGGGAAATTTCCTCGAAGGAGAATGCATTATTACAAATGATAAATCCAGCCAAGTTTGACAAACCTTTCATCACATGTCATAAATGTATTACATAGAGTAGCATGAGTACTATCTTCAGTTATTAATATTCTTACTTAACTGCTTTTAAAAGATTGGCTGGAGATCCTAATTTCTTTTCTGTACAACTGATTCAACATGTGCTCTCTCTACAGCTGACTGTCTAGAATTTAAGATACTGTACACATAACATTCTTCAGTGCATGGCCCTGATGCTGCGAACCCGCCGTCTCCCTGCTGTAAACCAACAAGTGCACCACAACATCTGCACGGAAAAAGACCGTCTAGGGTAACTCCAGCATATCGGTCCTCGCTACTCAACATCACCAGCAACACATCACTCCCTAATCTCTATTTCCCTGGACCGCAACCTTCTTCCTACAGCTCTATCCACCTTGCCCTTGCTTGCTTTCTGCCCCCCTTCCCCGCAGCCTCTCATGAGAACCGGGCTTCTGGTCTTCACCCTCCACACCCCACACTCGCGACTCGAGCCAGAGCTGTCGCAGCATAGTAACGGGGCGCCTAGCAACCTGGCCCGACCCCTCCGGCCGGGTCCACCCCAGGCAGCGGGGCATCCTCCCCAGCTGGACCTCCGCCCATGCCCGGAGCCTCCCCACTCACCCTGCTGGATGTCCCCGTTGGCGCCGCCGGGGACGGGCACGTTCAGCTGGCGCTCGGGCTCCGGCAGGCAGCGCCGGCAGAAGGAGTGCAGGCAGGGCAGCAGCTTCGGCTCGGCCTCCCGGCTCTGCAGGCTCTGCGCGCACACTGCGCAGGTGTCCAGCAGCGACAGCGGGCCCGGCGCGGCGCTGGAGAGGGCGGGGGGCGCGGGGCTGGGGCCCAGCGGAGCCAGCGGCACGGGGCCCGGCGCCGGGCCTACGCTCACCAACACGGGCGCCGCGGCCTCCGCCTCCCCGGGGCCCTTGTCTGCCGCCACCGCCGCCACAGCCAGGACCACCGCGCCGGGACTCTCCCTCTCCTCGGGCGCGGCGGGGGCTGGAGGGGACGGGGACGCAACGGCCGCCGCGGCTGAGGTGACAACGGCCGCCGCGGCGGAGGTAACAGACTCGGTACCACCCCCGGCCTGCCCGGCCTCCCCAGCCCCCTCCCCGCCACCGCCGCCTCCTCCTCCTTTGTTTTCCGCCATATTTCCTCCTTTGAACCCGACTCCCCGCTTTGCTCACGCACAGGACCGCGCATGCGCCCGCAAGCACGCTAGCGGCCTGCGCGCGCACGCCCGACACACATCTGGCGCGAGGTCCGCGGAGGGACGCCGCGTCCAGTGGGGAGGGGGCGGTGCTGGGCGTGTGCGTGCGCGCGCTTGGACGGTAGTAGCGGACGAGGAAGGCGGTGGGAGAGGCCCGAGGTTGAGAGGCCGGCGAAAGGGGGTCAGTTTTTTTTCCCTCCCTCACTGTATGGTGTTTAAAGGAAATAGCACGGACGTAAAGGAGAGCGCGAGCGCGCACGCTCAGGTCTGTAATAGAAGCGGCGCACGCGCAGACAGAGATTCACGTTCTAAGCGTGGGTGTCTCGAGAGCGGTTGGCGGTTGGTGTGTGGAGGGAAACGCGGCTCGTGCCGGGGGCCGAGGAACGGTGCGGCGGGAGAGGAGTCGAGGCAGGGCGGAGAGCGGCCTCTCACACTTGCCGGCTTCTCATCCGCGGTGTCTCTCGCTGAAAGAATTGGGGCTCCTGAGTGGGAAGATAGGAAACATAACGCGGGGCGGTTCTTCTAGTCCATTATGTGCGCCTCGCAAAGAGGGCAATATTTGAATCTCCTCAGTTTGCACTGGATTGGTTTGATTCGGTGCTTGGCTTGCCGCGTTTCGAAATGATTTACAGTGTAGTCCAAACCTTGCCTACTTTGATTTACGGTGAAGTCCAAACCTTTGCCTATTTGCCCAGTTGAGTTCAGTGGGGCTTACTCCTAGGTAAGTAGGGCTACCGTTACACCCATTTGTGTGTGGCTATTTTAATTAGATGCATTTTATTGTGCCATGTGAGTTGCGTTGACCTAAACGTATTTGAATGAGGTGAAGGCAAAGGGACCCCTGACCATTAGGTCCAGTCATGGCCGACTCGAGTTGCGGCGCTCATCTCACTTTACTGGCCAAGGCACCCGGCGTACAGCTTCCGGGTCATGTGGCCAGCATGACTAAGCCGCTTCTGCTGAACCAGAGCAGCGCACGGAAACACCGTTTACCTTCCCCCTATTTATCTACTTGCACTTTGACGTGCTTTCGAACTGCTAGGTTGGCAGGAGCTGGGACCGAGCAACGGGAGCTCACCGCGTCGTGGGGATTCGAACTGCCGACCTTCTGATCGGCAAGTCCTAGGCTCTGTGGTTTAACCCACAGCGCCACCCGCGTCCCTCCTTTGAATGAAGTAAGGAATAAATCACAGTGCTAAGTCGGGGAACAGACAACCTTGTTGCATTGTCACCAGCAAGGCAGAACTGAGACCTCTGCCCATTTCTGGCCTCAGAATTTTATTTTATTTTTTAAGTTTCTCTCCTGCAATTGTCTTCAAAGTTTGGACACAATCAAAAGCATATTTAAATTATCTCCTGGTTTGAAGGTGAGTCATGGGACTTTAAAAGCTTAGGCTCTCTTGGGTCTCTGCTGCTTTCTAGATTGTCACCTTTTGGCCCCAACCCTTATTGGAGTTCTAATTAGTTGGATTATGGCTTCTGAGAAGGAAGCTATCCAGTATAACCTCTCAGATGCTTTCACAGGGACCATAAGGTTACACCCTGGCTCTTTGGTCTCAGAAAGGGAAAAGTAGCCGTTTGATATCACCTAGGTGAAAATTAAGAGAAAAATAAATGAGATCCCATTATTTGGATAGCATACGGTGAGTAAAATGTTTTTGGAGTAAGCACCAATGGCCAGCCATTGAGTGGCATGAGAAATGGTGGTAATGACTGCTGCATGTCAGGTCGTGAACATGGTTATAAAGAAACCATTTTCACAGTTATTTCAAATGTATTGGTGTTCTGTCTTTCCTTAAAGATACAAAATAAAACCAAACACAGAGAATAGCTGTATGTGTAATGGGGTAGGGAAAGAAATTTTGCTAATGTTCGCCATTTCTTTTAAAAATTGAGTTGGGGAGTAGAAAATGGACAATCTTGAAGTAACATAATTGGGGGAGGGGGACTCATACAAGGTAATCTGCCAATGGACTGATTTTGAGTAGAAGCTGTTAGAGTTATCTACTCTTGGTCAGAAATTACATCACAGAATGTTCCCAATAGGTATTTTGAAAGTCAGATTACAATCATATACACACTCACATGGGACTCATTAAGCTTCTGGTCTGAATAGATGTCTATCAGGTTGCACTATTGTGAAACCCAAGTCACACCATGTCTGTAAATACAGTTCATTGCCTTTGAAATATACCCTGCTTTTTCAGATATATTAATATCGCAGCTAACTAAAAAATGTGGTGCCCTATAACGAAAGTGTACCTTAGTCAATTTAAGCAGAAGTAAGGGAATCAAATCCATATTTTGCCTAAAATAAAATACAGAGGTCTACAGTGACCGTGATTTAAGCTCTCCCATGGAAACAATGGGACATATTTGGTTGGAGGGTTCCCCAAATTATTGAACATTGGGTTGGGTAGCTGTTACAGATATAGTTAGTTGGGCTCTAGGTCTGCTAGGAAGGATGTACAGGTTACTGTGACTGGAGGCCAAATGCAAGTCAGCAAAATGGTGATGTTGCAAAAAAGAGGAAGAAGCAAATCCTGTTTTGAATTTATTAAGAGAAGCATGCAAGACATAAGAGGTAATGACACTTCTCGCTGTGACGCTTATTATAGGTCTCTGAAGTGCTGCATCATGTGTTCACATTTTAATTATACAAACAAACGAGAAGATTCTGAAGACAAACTCAGAGTTGAGAATAACATTCAGAAGGCACTAGACATTTTCACTTAGAGAAAAGTAGCTTGGGGAAGAGGATGTGGAATTAATTTTTATATATTTCATGGATTCATTTAAGAAGGATGAAAAATGAGTTGAAGTTTTAACCAAATTTAGGTTAGATTATGTATAACTAATTGTAAACAGCTGGGCAGTGAAATGTTGCTCTAGGAAATAGAGAAGGGTGGAAAATAACACTTCACCAATGCTATAGAAAGGTGTGAATCCAACATGAGTCCAGCCTTTGCTTCAACTTTAATTGGATTAACTGGAATTATCTCGCCAAGCTAATTTCAAGACTTCTTTGCCTTTGAGGGTATAAGTGATGTTGTTTTGGCTACAGTTGTGAAGTACTTCTGAGACAACTAATTTTGCCTGATCTGGAACAGTTTTGCATTCTTATTTCTGAATTCACACCCATTTTCAAACATTTTTGTGGACTACTTGAAGCTTGCTAGGGTTCTCGATGGATCATTTACACATTTTTTTTGTTCTGCAATGTATAATAGATTTCACTTCTGAATTAAATATGAGTAAAAAAATAACTATTTCTTCAGCACTGGTCTATTGAAATCCAGCACTGTGTTATGAAACCATATTCCTAAACTAGGCTGCTAAGAAAGGTCCCTTTAAATCATAGTAAAAAAAAGAGATAGAGACAGCTCATAATAATTATATCATGGGCCTTAGGTCAGGGGCTTGTTAATTAATCCATTCATGTTTTAAATGGTGTGTGTTTTTTAAATGATATTTATTGAGAATTTAAAGTTACAGAAAGAAAAAGAAAGAGCAAAGAAAAAGAGAAAAAAGTAATTAAACAGTACAAATCAATAAAAAGAAAAGAAAGAATACACAACACACAAAGCATCAACACCAAAAACCAGAACAAAAAAGAAAAAAACAAAACTTTAAAAACAAATCCACTATTCCCATATCTTTATCTTTCATTACCTTGTTTCGTCGACCTCCTCACACCTCCCTTTTTTGTATTCTAATTATTAATTATATCAGCAAATCCTTTCCATCTTTCACTATGTTTTGTCATTTAATTATCTTAATTTATTTTAACCTTATCTTACCATAAAAGACCCTAAAACTTAAAACTTATTTAAACTTATCTCCTTATAGCATTTCTACTGAAGCCAAATAGTTTCATTCCAACATTTTCCTGACACTCATTAACTTTACAATGTTTCTTTAAATGAATTTTTAAACTTTCTTCCAATCTTCATCCACCGTCTCTTCTTCCTGGTCTCGGGTTCTGTCAGTCCTTTCTATCAATTCCCTCTAGTCCATCAACCTGGTGATCTTCTGTCCAAGGCTCTTAACTCTTTTCCATGTTTCCATGTTTTAAATGGTTTTGAACTGCATCGGGGTGGGGTGGGAAAGACAACTAAATTGAAATTCCCCATACATTTTTGCTACACACTAATGCCAGTTATGGAGAATAGCAGTTCCAGTTCCAAACCCTCCCATTCAGGCTGACCTCAGCCCTATGGTGGTTTTTCCCACCAAACCCCTGGGGACCCACATTGGTCTCCTCAGGCCCCAGGGTAAAGTATATTGGTTTGCCTTTCTGGACCACATACTGATGCGCTGTATCTTGATGAACATGACATAGAACGACCTGATCCCCTCCCAAATGTTGATTCACCTGGGAGTAGGCTCAACACTGAGGTGGGCAGAATCAGCCTATCCCCTGAACACCAGTTTTCCATGATTATTCTGGTACATGCCAGGGCTAAAATGTGACTTCTACAGCAAGCAAAGTTGTTAGGGGAAAGTATTTTCTGCCTGAAACTAGGCTATTCAGCAGGCTATTCCAGACCTTCCCCCTTGACTAGAAATACCAGGTTATAGCTAGCCTCAGCCTACTAGCTAAGGTGTCAACACTGTGGCATAGTAAGTGGACAACCTGCCCTATGGGGCTGGGAAATGGGGGGCATGTGTGAGATGTGCTCACAGGGAGTGTGATTTGAGGCATTCAAGAACATTAAAATTCAGGGCACTTAAATTGCCCATTACCTCATTCTGCTCCACACCCGCAGAGGAGACGTGTCCTGATAAAGACAGAAAACATGGTGGCAAAGGCATGCATAAACAGGCAGTGGAGCACAAGGTCCAAGTCCATGTGGTTGGAGGCAACTAAGATAGGCAGTAAATCTGTCCCATCAGGAAGACCACCTTCGAAGACCCAAAGCCCTTTTTTCTCCAGCTTTGTGTTCTCTCAGTGCTAAGGAGGCTGATCTAGCCCTTTCTTTTTTAAAAAACAACTACACCTTTACTATCAACTGACTTTGAGCTGACATCACATCTCAGTGTTTTATTCCATTTGTTCTTTGTTTCATTGTTCTATTTTATTGTATTTTATATATTATATTTAATGAGTTTCATTTAAACTGCTTTGGCTGTATTTAAACTGTATTTTGGCTAGGAAATCCATTATTTAATAAACAAAACATCTAACATCTGGTCTATTTTTAGATTTCACAGAGGAATCTGCTTAATATATATAATGACTCATGAGATGGGGGAAATCCCCATAAGGGTGTTACATATGCATTCAGAAAGCTCCTGAGAATAAGGAGGATTTATTGGTCATGGGGGGGCGGGGACTAATACAACCACTATAGTCTGCAGCATCACCTGGGATCAGTAATGTGGGACAGAAAATCTTCCAGTGCTTCATTTTTTCTGTGGAAAATGTTCTGCTTCATAGATTAATTAGTAACTGTGAATGTCAATTACAAGTAAGTGTTAGACAAGCTGGCAATTTCATTCCCCCCCCCCCTTTACAAGCTAAATTAGATCACTATAAGGCATTTCTGATTTCTCTAAGTGAGCCAGTTCAAATTTTCTGGAAAACGCACATCACTGCCCGTGATCATTCTTTAGACGCTGCCATCTCCTTCAAAAGATTCAAGGTTTACAAAAGAAAAGAAACTTTATTGTGGGTTTTGTAATATAAAATTTAGGCAAATGGCTGCATAGTAAGCTACCCCATTGGATTCCAGTCTGCAGCATATTGTGAAAGGATTCATATATCCTAGTAGAAGCTTTAAGTTTTGCATCAATATGACAAAAAATTCTAATCTCAGTGATGAGAAGATGTATAATCTCTTGGACCTTTTCCAATTTTATTTGAACATATATTAAAAGGTTCTGTCACATTTTGAAAGATGCACCCAGCCCCAGCCCCGATCACTGGCATTGACTACCTCCGCCCCAGAGCGCTTCTCACACACCCTTTGTTGCCCAACCATCACAACAGCTCTGCTGCCAATGGGTCTAACTCTCCAGGAATTGCTGCCACCACCCTCCCACTTACTCCTGCAGTCCTAGGAGAGAGAACCTGGAGTGCACTAAAGCAATTATTTTTTAAAGGGTTCTGGACTAATGCCCCTGCACTCCTCAGCTCAATCTGTACCTTTGCTTACCTGCCATGGAACAGCTGTAATGTTTGATGTTTTACTGTTAGATATTTTAATTTGTTAGAAGCTGCCCAGAGTGGCAGGGGCAACCTTGTCAGATGAGTGGCATATAAATTGTTGTTGTTGTTGTTGTTGTTATACCTGTGTAGGGAAATCATATATGGAATGACCTTAATCATTGTAATAATTTCTCCTTAACATCTGAATCAGGAGAGTTCATGGACCAGTGCTTGGAGTGGTGAGATGGATGAGGAAAAACAAATAGAGCTGAATCCTAGCAAAACATAGGCACTACGGGTAGAGTGATTCTCATACCTGAGAAACAGGTCAGTTGCCTACCCTGGGTGGGGTTGCATTCTCCCTAAAGGAGCAAGTTCACATTCTAGGGGTGCTTCTGGATCAAGTTGTGTCACTGGAGGCCCAGGTAATCTCAACAACTAAAAGCACCCTTTGATGCTGCAACTGGTACAATAGCTATTACCATTTCTGGACTGGGAAAGTTTGGCCAGAGTAGTTCATGAATTGGTTACTTAAGAGTACATTGCAGTAATCCAATCTTTTAAGTGGGGCTTTCCCTGGGCTTGATATGGAAACAGCAGCTAGTGCAGAATGTTGTGGAACGATTGCTGACGGCAGTGTGACCTCTGCCAAGAAAACCAACAACAATGCGTGCTTCTGAACAACAATTAAGGACAAGTTTTTCTTTCTTGGCCAAGTCTCCAAGCTCAGCGATGCACTGTTGAAGCCAGAAAGTTGTTATGTGAGGAGGATGAATTTTCTTGCAGAACATCCACGCCAGCTTCACTTACACACCCTCGAGTGGGTGCAGGTACTATAACTGCCTGGTATGTTCTTTGATCCTGCCCAGATTTCTCCTAGAAATTTCAGTAATCATCCATCACCATTTCAAGTGTTACACAGGTCATTGTAAGAAACAAGCCATTTTTTCTCAAAAAGCCAGGACCATGAAAAAGACAGAGGTTTACAAGTTGGAAGTCATGAAGAAATGTTAATTGGGTGACACTGACAGCAAAGCGCAAAAGGGTGGGTAGGAAGGCCACTAGTCGGGAAAAGAAATGAGATAAATGACTAAAAGCAGCACATCAGTTGAGATCAAAGAAATTTATACCAAGTCCACTTGGTATAGCAACTACACAGTGGACTTGGGTGAAGGTATTGAGGGGGTGCTCATCAGATTTGCAGATGACATCAAACTGAGAGGAGTAACAGTTAAGGTAACAGTTCCAAGACTCAAGTTTTTATTAAAGACAGATTTTTAAAATTAAAAATACAGATGACTTTCTTTTACCAAGTATTATTGGTGGAATCCAGCAATGTCTATCCACCAAGAAAACAATGTCACCTTCCTCCTATCAGTTGGTTCCCAATTATCAGGTTGGTAACATGCTTTTGGAAACTGGACTTACTGATGAACAATCCTCAGACTCCGAGGAAAAACTTCTGATTTTGCTCTTGTGGTATGTACACAGACAGTGCAACCTACTTTCCTGCTTAAAGAAAGTGTGGTTGGAGACTTGGACAGCGGAAGCATTAGCCTTAAGAGGGCTAAATCCAGATCTCCTGTTGACGCAGGCAGTGCAGATGGAGAATTAAAATTCCTCAAGCCCTTAAGAAACCTCTGGATAAGGAACTGTGAAAAGATGGCTTGTAACTGATTAGGTGATAAGCTGCTAATATAGCTAAGTGGATTGTAATGGATGAAATAGATAGGTCACCACCTTTTAGGTCCTAGCAACAAGGACACCCAAGCCAACCCCAGTGAACATTTCAACTCATCTCCCTTTATATCCCCCACTCACTTTCCCTGTTCCTCAGAAGGAAGCCCACCTTCTCCTACTTCTTGATGTCATATCTTCTACAATACTGTCCAGCACTTGTAATTTCCAATTATTTGGCACACTTCCTTTTTCATATTTTAGTCCCTTCTTAATTTCTTCAGTAGCATAACCTTTCCCAAAGCTGCCCAGGTAAGGACTACCATTAGAGACTACACTTATCAACCAGTTCCCTTTTTCTGTGCCTAGTACACTGCCGTGATTACAGATGACACAGATACTAATGGACGTTTGAAAAACCTACAGTGGTGCCCGCAAGACGAACGCCTCACAAGACGGAAAACCCGCTAGACGAAAGGGTTTTCCGTTTTGGAGGCGCTTCGCAAAACGAATTCCCTATGGGCTTCCTTCGCAAGACGAAAAGCCATAGGGAAATCTCCGGGACAGCGGGGAAGCGCAGCGCATCTTCCCCACTGTCCTCGGACCTCCTCCGAAGCCTGGCGGCGGGGCGGGGACACCTCCTCCCGCCGCCCGGCTTCGGAAGGATGCTCCGAAGCCGGGCGGCGGGGCGGAGACACCCTCTCCCGCCGCCCCGGCTTCGAAGGCTGCTCCGAAGCCGGGGCGGCGGGCGGGAACACCTCCTCCCGCCGGCCCGGCTTCGGAAGGATGCTCCGAAGCCGGCGGCGGGGCGGGAACACAACCTCCCGTCGCCCGGCTTCGGAAGGATGCTCCGAAGCCGGGCGGTGGGGCGGGGACACCTCCTCCCGCCGCCCGGCTTCGGAGGCTGCTTCAAAGCCTGGGCGGGGGGGCGGAGAGACCTTCTCCCCGCACCAGCCTTCGATGGCTGTCCTGAAGACTTTGGGGTGGGAGAAGGGGTTTTTCCTTCCCACGCCACATTCAGAATGCTGTTCTGAATGTTGGCGGTGGGAGGAAAAACCCTCCTCCCACGCAAGCCCCGGGAACAGAGGAAGCACTGCGCGCCTTCCCCTCTGTTCCCGTACCTGTCCTGAAGGCTTGCGGTGGGGAGAAAAGCCCTTCTCCCCACCGCCAGCCTGGCAAGCGTTTCATAGGACGCATTAATGATTTTCAATGCATTCCTATGGGAAACCGTGCTTTGCAAGACGAAAACTTGCGGAACGAATTAATTTCGTCTTGCGAGGCACCACTGTATCTCAAAATGGGAAGTCTTCCAGCCACCACTCATTAATTCTCCATGCAGATCAAAATCTGAGTGCTTGAGTCCTGCCCCCAATTTTGTCCTTTCACAAACCCCTGCCCTCAATCCATCAGTGGGGGCAGAGGAGCCAACAACAAACAAACGCCAGCTCCCTCGGCCTGCAAAGCGAGATGAGTGCCACAACCCCACAGTTGTCTACGACTGGACTTAACTGTCAGGGGTCCTTTGCCTTTACCTTTACTAGAAGAAATAGGCTTAGGGACAGCTGACACAAAGTTGTCCACTTTTTGTCAATGCTTCTAACAGACTGTGAATCGTACTTGGAAACTTTTTTTGAGGTGTAGGATTAGTGAAGTCAGTGAGACGGGGCCTGGCTTACCAAGAGATGCACTTTCTAATATTAGACATTAGTGTTGATACGCAAGCATAACCCATTCATTACCTGCTGTTGAATACTTCTGTTCACAGGTCCATTGATGTCCCCTGGTCCTTGTCTTAATGTTAACTGAACATACTTTTCCACAGCAACATGTGCTAAGAATGCTCTTCAGTACGTCACTATGAATGCATAGTATTACAGTGGCATAGTAAAGATTTTGAGACTATTGCCAAACTTCACAACCAACTCTGCTCAAAATACTAGTAGCATGCCATCAAAGTGGTCAGCTATGGCAGGAGGGTCATGAAACAGGCTCTCACTTTTGGAACCCATTTTTTAGAAGCAAAGGTATACCTTTCACTTCTTAAGTAAGGACACATGAAGAATCCCACCAGTTATACAATTTTAACCAACAGCTTGATGTACAAACTCCTGAATGATACATATATTTGGTCTCACCTTGCGTATTTCTGAAAAATATGCAAGATACAAATTTTATTAAGTTTGTCTTGGTCAAGAGCTACAGTAGTGCAAATAATTGAAACTCTGAAGAAATCGGATTTGACAAAGGCCCTTTAACACCTGAAAACTTGTATTCCTTCCTAACAGCTATAGCTGGCAGCATTGGCACCTCTAATATAACTTACCAGTAGTAACTTTTCATTGCTTTGTTTTTACTAGAACACAAATTAAGTTGAAAAATGTTTATTTTTAGTTATTTTAAAAAATTGGAAACATACACAAACAAAAAATCTGCAACATTCATGCCAGAAATTGGGAAACTCAGTAAATCCTTTTAGAAACACTTCTGTTCCTTGCAATCAGTTTTTCAGCAATCAGTTGCACAAATGACAGCTCCCCCCCCCCCACTAAGAAATTAGAATTTACAGCCATGCATAGACTTCAGTTTTTGTGTTTTGCAGCTAAAGGCCAACGCAAGTCTCAGAAGTCCTGTTGGATGTTTTCTTTGTTTGCCTCTCCATGTTGCTGCTTGATTTGAGAAATTTCATTTTCCAGTTGCACAATAGTTCGTTCAATCTCATAGTTTTTACTGACCAGGGACACCCACCTGAGGGGGGAAAGAGAACAAAAATTAAATTACTATAGGCTTCCTTAATGCTAGGTTACCAGTTAAGGGAACAGTTCAGTTGGAAGTGCTGTGGTTTGGGAAGCCAATCTCAATTGAGACTTCCAACTGGTTTTGTATAAGGTTGTGTTCCTCCCTGAAAGACAGAGAAGAGGCAGGGAGCAAAGTTCAAGAAACTTACATAGATTCCATCTCTCGAAGTTTAGCACCAGCTGTGAGCTGCATGTTCTTCCGCTGCCAGTTAAGGTCTTGAATGTGTTTCCTGAAGAAAAGGGTGACATACTGAATCACTTGTAGTCATTTATTCTACTGCCCTCCTAAGTCCACAGACAAGTGGAACAGACTGTACAATCACATATTCAGCCCTAAAAACAGGAGCTTGGACAACTATTTTGGACTATCTCGGAAGCAATGTTAAGAGTTCTGAAAGACTCTGGATTCAACACTTTAATGCTTTGGCCACACCTATCACTGACATGCAGCCTTCAGAGTTGGCCGACAAGGAATGTGATCCTTAGGCTAAAAAGACCTGTTAGCCACATCTGATCAAGATCCATTATCCAGAAGTAGCACCACTTGTGGACTCCATCACCATTCAGATCTCTAAAAATGTACATATGCTTCTTGAATTAGTCCTTGTATGGCACTCCTAATTCTTCTGAATTTCTTCTCAAAAAGCATTTTATCAGTAATTATGAATGACCTTTTAGTTTTAATGGTGGCCCTAGCTAGCCATGCAAATTAACAGACAAGGATTCAGGAACAGGAAACATGAGCTCATCCCTGCAATTTGGATCTCTACAATATTTTATGCCGCTGAAGGTAGAAAAAAAAGAAAACTACATTTTTTTCAAAGTAAATTAATCATGTGCACACTGCCTGCATTAAGAGAGATCCAGGAAAGTTCAATGCAGCACAAAGGAGATTGTCAGTGATCTCCCTTTCTCCTCTCCCACAAACTGTTTAGGGGTTCTCCCAGTTCTTCCAGAGCCAATTTGGGGGAGGTGTGGAAGCATGTAGAATGAAGGGGGGGAGCTCCCCCATACTAGCAGAAGTCCTTGGATGGGGTTCTGCTAGAAGCAAGGTTTTTTTAAAACAGAACTCACCAGAGCTCAGTTCCAGCACCTCTCAGGTAGGCGCCACTGCCATTTTAAGAGAACAAGGGAGGTGTTCATGGGGACTTCCAGCATGTCTTTTTCTAGAAAAACAGCACTGGCTAGAAGGACCTGTTAGTTGAATCTGGCCCTCTGATTCAAACTACTGACAGACCTAACTTCATGTCATTCAAAAAAATAATCATCAACAAACATCTTCACTCTCAGAAATGAGTATCATTCTTGAGCTGTTACTTGGTATGCTGCTTCTCAAGGAGTTGTCTCCAGAAAATTATCTAAGGGAAACAGAGCCATCTAACCATTTTGTATCTAATATTTGGAAACTATGGACTAGTGAGACCTTCATAATAACCAAGAGGATGTCTAAAAACAGCAGCAGTAACCCCAAATTCCAAAATGAAAGAAAAACATATTTAAACGTTTATTTCTTGCACAATCCCATGTATACATGAAGAATTCAAAATACACACTGTACTAGAATGCATATTTTGCAATCTGCAACAAAGACTAAAGTCTTATACATTATTAGAGCCCCATAAACTATAATTCCATTTTTCTTCCAAAAGGCAACTGGAAAACAGGACTCACCTCAAACTCTGCAGCTCCTTTTGTGCCTGTTCAATCATATGAACTAAATGCCTATCAGCAAAGAAAAATACTAGTTCAAAAAATGATTCCAATAGAGAGTTCAAGTAATGCAATGTACTGATCTATATTTTATCTTAAGCATAACTTAAGCTAACTGGGGGCTTTAGATTAACTCTGTTTCTATGTCTATTTACAGTGCTGTAACTCTATTGATCCCTGAAACATAAGAATAAAATTTGGTGCACAGGACACAGTTCTATGTTTGAACTTCAGATACCAACTTAATAGCCACAGTAGTTTAAAGGAAATCAATTTACCCAAACCACATTAATTAGCCCATCCCATATTCCCAGTAATGCTAATATGGAACTTGATGTCCATTCTTGTCTAATTAATTACTAGTAAACCAAGCTGACATGAAACTTTTTTCTAGATTAGATACTATTAAGTCAAGAAAATTCAGTATTTTACTGAGAGAAACAAATGTGGCAGGATTCACAGTAAAGCATGCTTAATGGGGCTGGTGTGTGGCATTCCTGATCTACTCTATGATGTGTATGTCTCGTGTAGTTTATGAAATTTCTTATTGCTTTCCATTGTTGTATACTACTTTGATACATTTTGTAAAAAGGAGCACAGAAATCCTTAAATAAAACAACTTTTTTGTCCCCTCCTTTCTGCAGCAGCCCCTCCAGCTCCCTGAAAATAAGGAGAGAATGGGATCCCTGAAATTGAGTGGAGGCAACTTCTACTATGCCAGCTTCTAATAATCAGTGAAATTTTTCAGGGACCAGTGTGGGGGAGACATGGTAAGGAGGGGGCAGGGAACTCAGCACCCACCAGCCCCATTACACACTCTTAACTCTCAATCCAACACTTAGAACTTTTGCAATTCCCTACTGCAGGCATGTCCAAAGTCCATTTTGGGGGCCTAATATCCAGCCCACCGGTCAGTTTAGTCTGGCCCCCGTGGCAGTTTATTTCCTGGGGTAAAATCCTAAGAAAACCTCAACAAGTTCAATCCCCAAAAAAGCTCAAAAAAATTGGGGTAAAATCATAAAAAAGCTCAACAATTTCAACCCTAAAAAAAGGTCAACAATTTTGGTTGGCCCTCATGGCTCTTCACTTCATCAAATCTGGCCCTCTTTGAAAAAAGTTTCGACACCACTGCCCTACTGCAAAGTTTACATTCTGACTTGCAGCATCTTCTCTAATCTTTTCATCTTAAAAAACATTCATGTGGTGAATGAAGATCCACTGAAAGAAGGAATAAAACCAATTCTTGACCTTTTTCAATGAAGAAGTATCCAATAGTATATGGCTCTTATTTTTTACTTGCAGGTGTGAAAGTGCTAAGGAAGGAGAGGTAGGTTCGGTTCTCAGTAGCAGGAAAGACAGCATTCCATTGACTTCAAGACTGATTTTTTAAAAGGTTTTCAGTTATCACTTTGGAAGCATTTCACAACAAAAAAAATTATAAAGCCTTCCAGCTAGCCCTTTTTAAGAAATGACTTGAAGGAGACACAAATATCTTACTCATTATACACTTTCCAGGCATTGCAGCCATACTGAGACATCAACTCCAAATTCTCAATTCGGACTGCCTGGTGCTCCAGCTGAGCCATTGAGTTATTAACACATTCTTGCCATGCTGTGATGTCATTCTTCTGCCCAGAGGATGGTGCAGGAAGCTCATATCTGTGAAGAAAACAAGAGAAATTATAGTTCAGGAACAACAGTTTAGATGGTTTGAAGTTTAAGAAAGTCATTGCACTGATCATGTCCATGACTAATTTTTATCAGTGAAATAGATGTGTATCAAAAGCGTTCAATAGCTCAATAAACGCTAAAGGCTATTTAAAATACCTGGGGAGCACAACAATTTTGGTTCATTTGTCTAGTTTCAGGCACATGTAGTCCTATTTGCAGAAGTATGACCCAATGTCGGCTTTCTCCAATGCTATCAGCATGAAGAAACTTAATCTCTTTTGCTAAAATGCTGAATTATAATTCCACAAACAGACCTACAAGTTCCTTGAAGACATAACAGACCACTAGCTATTGTTCCAACAGAGTATGCCTGCCACCCTGAGGCAAGAACTAGAACATCACATTTTAATACTTTTCAGAATCAGGCACCCAAACCTTATTTCTTTCTAGATTTTGACTTTGCATAGATGGTACACCCCACAGAAGGTCCCTAAGTTACCTTTTCATGCTCAACAGTTCTATGGGCTGTCGGGCTGCTAGGCGTTCAAATTCATTCCGCATTATTTCAGTCTATGAAACACAAGTCAAGAAGAATTACTTGCAATCCGGAAGATGATAACCTGAAAATTCTAAATTTATGATCACATGTAAGAAACAAAGGTCTAGACCTCAACCCGACACCAAAGAAATCACCTTGTCCTAAGAGAGGCCCCCTGTGTCCCTGGAACTCCTGAACACATTCAGGGTACTTCATGTATTCTAGGGCTCAGCCCAGGCCTTGGCAACAAATAGTATTTTTCAAAGCACTGCTAGGACTTAAAAATCAGGGAGCTCTCAGTTCAAGTTTTACCTAGTCCAGAAAGTCACAGTCTCTCAGTCTCTGCCATTTACAATAAAGAGATAATATACTATCCTGCCTTACAGAACAGCTGAAAATATAAAGATTCCCAAGGTAATGTATCTTGAACATTGCAAAAATCTATGTACAGTGGTGCCTCGCAAGACGAAATTAATCCGTTCTGCGAGTCTCTTCGTCTTGCGGTTTTTTCGTCTTGCGAAGCACGGCTATTAGCGGCTTAGCGGCTATTAACGGCTTAGTGGCTTTAAGAAAAAGGAAACAAACTCGCAAGACGTTTCGTCTTGCAAAGCAAGCCCATAGGGAAATTCGTCTTGCGGAACGACTCAAAAAACGGAAAACCCTTTCGTCTAGCGAGTTTTTCGTCTTGCGAGGCATTCGTCTTGCAGAGCACCACTGTAATATAAATATGAGATGTTCTCCATTCACTTCCCCCTAAACACAGAGAATCTTTTTCTATTTTTGCATCTTTCCTTATATGTTTTGAGAAAAACAACACTTATACTCCAATTTCTCGTCAAGCAAAACATACTTATCCCTGCACATTTTTTAGGATGGAACTATATCACAGTAATCAAAATCAGGCCTCACAATTAGAGTTCTACTTTTATTTTAAGCTACCTTAAAATTTATTAAACAAGTTAACAGAAACCAGAGGTGGTTTCATGTTTATACTTAAAACTAGTAACTCAGGTGAAGCTGTTACTTTAGAAGTTTTTGCTATGCTGGGACCCTACAATACAAAATAGTTATGGCAGTGCCCTCTAGCGGCTTGATTTCTATTAAAATATTCATTGCTCACTTGGAGACAGGCAGGAAAAACTGTTTTACATTTGTTGGAAATACCGCTAACTACTTTTGAAGTTGAACACTGGCTTATTTTTATTCGTACCTTTATTGCTGCCAGACTACAGTTAACTGCTTTATTAAGGGGTGTGTGTGTGTGTGTGTGTGTGTGTGTATACTTTCAAAAAAGTAAAAAGAATTTTGCAATGTCTTGACTCTAAAAGGCAGCCTAGAAATTTCTTAAATATTTTAAATAACTTTTCTAGATGTAACATCCTTAAACTGCTTTTTTATTGTGTATTTTTAATTATTGTAAACAACCTTGGATATTTTATAAACTGGCTACACATGTAAAACAAAAACCACAAGCACTTCAAACTATTGCCTACTGAGACAATTCCAAAAACCAAGAAGTGCGTCTTCAAGACTCAACCCTGACCTTAAGTTAAATTTCGGGGGGGGGGGGTCTGTATGCCGGGCGGTGGATTTCAGGGAATCTTGCCACACTGCAAAGACAAGCACACCCCTACAAGATAACTTCTCATGGACTACCATATGCAGGAAGCAGAGTCTGCTATCTTGGCCCATCAAGGCTTGTGCCACATTAAGCCCGTTAGACCTTCCTTGGAGGTTGTGAAGCAGAGGTTGGATGGCCACCTGTCAAGGATGTTTCAGCTGAGATTCCTACATTGCAGGGGGTCATTGCCTACTCTACAGTTCGATGATTCCATCATGACCAGCCGAAAGTCTATTTCACTGTCTTTGCGGGCATCTGCAAAAAACTTGCATGGCCACTTCTCGTAGTTCCATGACAAGGATAGGAAAATTATCGCCTGCCAGAGATAGTTACAACTACCATACCTGTCAGCCCCAGCCAGCGGCCATGGATGCTGGGAGCTGCAGTCCAAGTACCGGCAAGTCCTAGCTCTGAACCCAAGGACCAGGGTTGGATTTAGGTTTGATGAGGCCCTAAGCTACTGAAGGTAATGGGGCCCTTTATTTGTCCAGCTGTCCTTTGTCAACAACAAATTGTTGCAGTTTTTGTGTCGAATATATGCTATATGGTAATTTTTGGACCGAAAGCCATTTGCACATAACAAGATATTTTATCAAAGTAATTGTTGAATTAATTACATCATAGGAGCCTACACAACACAAAATACTGTTGCTGTATGTAGGTTTTATTTCATTTGTGGGGGTTTTTTTGCCTTAAATTTGGGAAATGTACATCCAGTTGTGTTTTTCCTTTAAATTTTTGGGGGTCCCGAAGAGAGTGGGGCCCTAAGCTATAGCTTGTTTAGCTTATACGTAAATCCGGCCCTGCCGAGGACGCTTGAGCCCGGCGGGCGCCTTCCTCACCTCGAAAGCGCTGTAGTCGGGCGCCGTCAGGTAGCTCAGGTAGTTCTTGGTGGGCCGGTAGCGCCGCGTCTCTTCCTCCACCAGCGCCGCGGCCTGAGGGGAAGACAAACGAGCGAAGCGGGAGACACTCGGTCAGAGGGACGCAGGGAAGCCCCGGAGTCCTCGCCCCCCCACCCGCTGTCCCCCGCCCCACTCACCGCCTCTCGCACGCCCGGAGCCTCGTACCCTTGGTCGAAATAGGGCAGGGCGTCCACGGCGACTTCGCCGGCCACCAAGCCGGGACCCGACATACCGCAGTTCCCAGCGCCCGCCTGCGCGCGCGTCTCAAACTTCCGTCGCGTTAAGATTGCGCGGCCGCCGTCTCCCCGACATCCACTTGTGCCACTGCGGCTGCGCAAATTTAGCTCTCCGGCGCGAAAGGAATCCCCTCGCGACTCCCGGCGCCTGCGCGTGTTCGACTACACGGCCCGGCAAGTCATGCTGCTGTTGCTGCTCCCCCTGCAGGGCGGCGTAAGGAACAGCAGGAGCAGCAGCGCCGAAATAACAGAGACAGATTAATGCAAACAACAACATGGATTCAAGCGGTGTATCTTTTTCAGTGCTGGAGAGTAACACTACATACCATACATACACACGTTCTCCTTTGCAAGGCCTCTGGTTAATGGGTTATTTACTCTCTTACACGTGCCCACAGCATAAATGGTGTCCCCAGCCGCTGGGATTTTTATTTTTCCCTCCTTTCAGGCCCACTTCCCCAACACACACACCAATCCGGTTTAATCTGTTGCCATAGTGCAGTGGACTTTGCGCAAGCTCTCTATATGGTATTATTGTTTTAACAACAGACATACTTTTCACTGCACAAACCTGTAACTTTTCCCAAAAATGGTGTCCCTTTCAAGCAAAATGTATTACATGTTAACAGTGTTTTTCTACTTCACACTGTTCAATACCAATTCTCCACTGACCAGGGTCACAGGGTCCATTTCCTTATTCCGTTACAACCCATGAGGGAAGGAGCCAAGCAGTCATAGGCTGGAGTTAAGAAATGATAGGAACAAGAAGCTGTTGCTGTGAGGAAACTAGTGGGCACCCAGCACCGCTAGAGCCATAAGTGGTTCTGAGAACTGGTCTGCAAAGGGTTCTGTGCTACATGATCTCTGCTTACAGATGAGTATGGAAAACAGCTTATTTGTTGTGGGCTCCGTTGAAAACAGCTCCATATAAACCAGGAAGTGACCACTCCAGACAGTGGAATGAGTCTTCTTTTCTTATTTCTGTTAGGCAGTTGAATGTGCATGTGTACTCCATCTGTTCCCCCTCCTCCCATTCCATTGCGTGGGCCCTGGAAACCCATGCTATGCCACTGCCACTGCCCCATCAAGCTCAACAGTCCTAACGAAAGCTCCCCAGGATTTCAGAGAGGCTCTTTCCCAGCCCTATCTGGAGAGGCAAATGATTGCAAAGCATGTTGTTTACCATTGTAGCTCAGTGATAGAGTATCTGTCTTACAGAAAGGCCCAGGTTCATCCCCAGTATCTCACAATAGGACTGGAAATGTTCACGGTCTAAAACTGTGGAGAGCCAGTGCTTGTCAGTATAGACAATACTGAGCTAGACAGAGCAGTGATCTGACTCTATATAAGATAGCTTCTTACGTTCCACTGAGTGGCAGTCTTTCTCCACTCCTAGAATTGTTGTCTATAAAGCTATACAAGGCAGCAGGTTCAGTGATGTCATATTGGGGTGGTGCACTTCTGGTAACCAGTACTTCTTAGCAGATAAACACACCACAATATTCTGTACAAGCTGCACCTTCCAGACCTACATCCAGGCCCTTCCGTTTACAATGTTAAAGTTCTACTTCTGGCAAGGGCACAACGCATCCCTCTGGAATCCTTCTGGAAAAGCTCAGTCTTTCTGGAAAAACTAGACATGCATAGAGCACAGATGGTGTTATTATCATTGACAGACAGGAAAAAGAGATGACCCGATACACAAAAACACAGCATATTTTATTTGAACCAGTTCCTTAAAGAACTTGGTTTATTACAGATCTGTAACTGTACATATAGTTTTGGTTTCATCTAAACACCACAAAATATGGCTTTATCCAGAATGAGCAAACTGGCTGCAAAAACACAAATGTGCTACACAGGAGAGAGACAACCACTGAGAAGAAGTACGCAAGGTCTGAAGGAAAGTGGTTTTATGAAGATGAGGGAAAGATGCATGTTTCCCATCCAGGAGTACGCAACAGGAATTATTAAAGTGGGTTTCATACCCTGAGGGCTAAAGTAACCCAAATGTGGATATGAATAACAGAATCACAGGTGAACTCTTCTTCCTGGTCTTCTGATCAAGTGCAATAGTCTTAAGTGCTGAACAGCTCCCATAAAATCAATGACCAGATCTGCTTCTTCTCATCAAGAATCTAGTTCTGTAAGGGTGGAAGCATGACAGATTCGAAACAGAATCACAGGTTCTAAAACACGTGAAAACAGAAACTGAACAAAATCACTTCCTTTGTGTTTGGGACCCACTTGTTACAACGTGATCCTGTGCATGATTACTCAGAAGTACACACATCCCTGAGATTTACTTGCTCCCAAATTGGTGCACATGGATTTTAGCCTTAAGCTGAAATCCCAAATGCTTTCTAAGGAGCAAATCCCACTGAATGTCAAGGGACTTACTTCTGAGTAAACATATATGGGATGGGCTGTTGGCCTTGTACGACCAACTCAGGATTAAATGTAAAAAGTTCTCTGATGTTATCCTCATATATACATTTGACGTTTTGTCTTCATGTTTTTTGGCACAGCAAAAGATATATATGTTCAGGAACTCTCCCCAGTGAAAGGAGCACCTTTCAGATACAGCAATAATATAAAAAAACAACAACCACGAAGACCTGAAATTCATGTTTCACTAAATTCCAGAGGTCAATCAGACTGTAAGGCAGAGAAAAAGCAATTTGGTACATCAGCACTCTGTACATCAAAGGAATTCCTCGTGTGATCATTTGTTATGATTCCAAGGCTGTACAACAGTCCCATGCATTCATCCTGAGTCTATTTCCTACATGTAAACATATGGTAAAGCGCCACTGGAGTGTAGTCTTTGGCTACATCCAACAGGTCCACAGAGGCAAGAGTAACTGGAGTAGTCTAATACTGCCTTGTAAATAAGCCCTCCAAAGTTGCCAGTCCCCCCCCCCGCCCCCCAAAAAGTTACCATAATAGTCTACTGGGAGGTGGCAAAAAGATGGGGAGCTGCATTTCTATGCTGGGCATGGAGGAAGGGACTTTCCCTCCTCTAGCAACCTGCTTGGTTTCTATGCTGGGCTCAAAAGAGGGACAGGGTGCTCAGTTCCTGCTTTGCCAGCCTGCCTACAAAGTCCTTAAATACAAGGCTGGTCCAATAAGAAAATGACATGCTGTGCCATAGTTGATTAGGGAAGTGACACAGGTAGAATCATAGAATCATAGAGTTGGAAGAGACCACAAGGGCCATCGAGTCCAACCCCCTGCCAAGCAGGAAACACCATCAGAGCACTCCTGACATATGGTTGTCAAGCCTCTGCTTAAAGACCTCCAAAGAAGGAGACTCCACCACACTCCTTGGCAGCAAATTCCACTGTCAAACAGCTCTTACTGTCAGGAAGTTCTTCCTAATGTTTAGGTGGAATCTTCTTTCTTGTAGTTTGGATCCATTGCTCTGTGTCCGCTTCTCTGGAGCAGCAGAAAACAACCTTTCTCCCTCCTCTATGTGACATCCTTTTATATATTTGAACATGGCTATCATATCACCCCTTAACCTCCTCTTCTCCAGGCTAAACATGCCCTTACACTATTTGCCTTACACTCTAAACAGCTATTGGAAATAGTGTGCAAGCTACCAGGAGGAATAAGGGTTCCCTAAAAGCAGATAACAACAGACCTTGGTGTAGATGAGGAAGAAAATGTTTTTGATGAATGTTCAGCTGTGGTAAATTAGAGCAATGCTTTACAGGGAAGAACCCGTTTCTATCCCACCCATTTCACGACAAAATGCAATGGTAAGAAACTCACTTTTCTTTTACAATAGTTCTGTATCAAACCAAAACAAACTCATTTTAAATTCCACTTTTTGATTTTGTTTTTTTTCAAAAGTCTTCATATTCCCAAATTGGGTTTAAACGGCATTTTCTTGACCAGTAAACACCAGTCTTGACTGAGGTATATCCCCTGACGTAGCAAAAGCAGGTCTGCAAAAAGGCACAGAAGTTGTATATTTGCAGCAGGTTGAAGTTTGCAGTATAAAAACCAACAGAACAAACAAAGAAGTGGGTGTTCTCGTCTTGCTTTCAGTATTTGAAAAACAGAAAGCTTTGAAAGACGTAAGTAAAGCCAACAGTTAATAAGAGAATGTGGCTAAACCTGGGCCAGTAACAGAGGACGTAACAGGAAGACGGATGAACAGGCCCTAGAGTACAGGTTTGCCTTTCAGTTTTAGAGGAAGTTTCCAGTTGCAGAGAATCTCTGCAGTGCAGTATTGCCATAGGTCAGTTCCTGAATTCGTTGTGGTTTTTTTAAAAAATTTATTTCTGGTTCATTCCTCTTATTAAAAGGTATCAGCTTAGCCCTCAGGGCTACTTTGAGCAGGAGTCATTTATAAAAACAGGAGGGTGTAGGAAGTCTCTTCAGGCCAAGCAGCATAAACAGGGATAGTTCACACAGCTAACTGGATTCTCCTTTGTAGACCAATTCTACAAAGACACAGAAGCCTAGTTTCTCCCAGTAATAGTCCCGTTGAACTGGGCACAGCAAAGGTTTGAGAATTCCACCCAGATCTGATGCCCTTTCTTCCAATTATTTGAAGGGTATCTGAGCTTGAATTCGAGTCATCCCTTCTGACGCTGCAGCAACAGGCAATGTGGCGCCCCCTTCTGACAGCCAGGTGAGAACTTAAAACCACTCTTAGCAGCAATTTTGCACTCAGCTTCTTCTCACTTCTTTTGCAGAAATTTCATTTTGCTACCTAAAAGGAAAAGCATAAAATAAAGAAAAATGGTAAGGTTGAGACATGCATGGGCATGCCTATTTCACTGCATTCATTAATCGCTTCCCATGAAACACACCGAAGCAGTCAGCCATAAAAACGTCAGCAACGAAACGTACATAGAAACAATTTAAATCCAATACATAAACAGGCTGAGATAAGAATCTTCACTTTTAAAAGCTTGTTGGGAAATGAAGGCCTTCAGCTAGTGCCAAAGAGATAACATTAATTACACTTGTCTGGAGGAAGTTCCAAAGGGGAGATTCCATCGCACCAAAAGCCAGATTTCTACATTGTACAGAAAGAACCTCAGGATGAGATGGTATCTGCACAAACTTTAACCAGAGGGTGCTCTAAACACTTCTACGGGCCTACATCAGCTGTGGTGTTAAGTTTGGTGTGGATACGGGTGATTTTGACCCGAAAGTATTTTGTAAAATTCTCACAGCAAGCTTCCAAGCATCCAAGGTTGCATCCTGCCCAGGGCTACATCTCACCAGCCCATTCACCGTTTGGAAAAGCTCCACTGCGGGTACAATGGAGGCAGAGAAGGAGGCTCATTATCAAGGCTGAAAGGTTTCCTTGGTAGTTCATAGTTACACAAATTACAAGTGACCAAGGCAGCCAAGAACAAGATTGAGCATTATTTACCCAGACTACGGAGGATTTTGTTCATCCCACTTGGCTCAGACTCTGGAATGGTCTCCAAATACTCCAAGGCACGGACTTCAAACAAGCCTAGAAAAAAGGAAAGCATCACTTAGACATGCATCTCTCTCTTTTGGGATGAAGTTTCAAACAAGATTACACATAGGAAAGCCCACATGTGCCCCAAAGAAGGGAAATACCCGTACATTGCCTAAAAAGGGATGAGTGAATGGATGCAGCCAGGCATCCTGTTCATAGCCTCTTATTCTGGGTTGGAGATGTTCTCACGTTCTCCAGCCTTTACCTCCTCCATGGCAAAGGAAAAGTTCAGCTCCTTAATTATTTCCCAGTGCACTACCCAGACAGTTGGTACAAGAGCTGGAAGAGAGTCTGAAGGTTTTCCATCACCTCCAATTCTGGTATTAACTTAAGTGAAGGGAAGGGGCCTCCTCTCCTGTCCATCATGCTGACAGCTACCTGTCTAATTCTTTAATAAAGTAAAGCTAAGCCAGCTTTATTGTTTGAAGGCATTTGAATTTCATTACAATCTCATTTAATGGTTAAACAGTTTATCTACAACTCCTTGGAAGTGTGGATAAGCCTTCACCCCACTTCCCTAGAACTAAATAAAGAATGCTTTGGGGGGAAGGACTATCACTGTTTCCAAGCTCAGAACCTGGAGGGGCTGACAACTGAAGGCAATCCCAGAAGAAGAGCACAGGACATTCTGCGGGCACAAAGTAGCTCTGCATTTCTACCATTTTCACTTGGTTTTTAAATTTTCCCCAAACCAAAAGGGTCATTTTTTAAAAATCACCATACGCAATACATAGGGCCAAGAAAATAAATGGCCATCCAAAATAAACGTGTCCCTCCAAAATGAGGAGAAAGCAGGTGGTCAATGGTCCTGGTTACCTGCAGTAGCAAAACATTTTAGAAGGTACCAGATATTGAAAAACAATCCAACTTGGATTCCCCTTTGGCTGTTTTAAATCCTTGTGCAAGTACCACAATTGGTCTACACAAAACAAGAATAAGGACTGGATTTGGCAAGCATCACCTTTAACCCCGCTTTTCCGTAGCTCTCGATCCTGTATGAAACCAGCGAACATTTGCGTCTCCATGAAGATGTCTAGGAAATGGCGCACATTGCGGGAGGTGTGGGACTTCCGGAAGGGATCCCGCTGGAACACCCGCTCTCCTTTCTCAGTGACGTGCATGTGCAGGGAGTAGTGCCCCACAATCTCCACGAAGAAGCGCACAAAAGCCTCCGACACCAACAAGTCCAGAGTCACGTCACCTACCAGAAGGCACAGAAAGCAGTCACATCTCAACCTTTGGAGAGATCAACCTCGACTTTGTTCCCAAAGGCTATGAAGGGACCACACATTCTATTGGGTGGGTCAGAGCCTAAATCTCTACCTACATATCTCTATTTAAACAGAGATAACGAAACTTGGCACATAGCTCAGGATGTCAACAGCTTCAGTGGGTACAATAACTGCACTTTTAATGGGGAGCTAGGTAACCATCAACATGGATGTGCAGCAGTAAGGGTGGGTCTGGGAATCCAAACAACCACTTCTCTGTTGCCAAGCAGTAGGATGCGTGTGCAGTTTGCTGGAAGTGGGAAGCACTGTGCACATGCTTTTCCCAGTCACCGTTTCCCCACTGCAACCTCCTCTCCTCCCCATCGTCCCTGGGGAGTTAAAGCCCCTTCCTAACACTTTTTCCTGTGCCAACCACTTTCCCTCGACCCCACTTTGCCACTTTGCAGTGGAGATGTCTGAAGATTTCCACACCACCATATTTTCATGGGTTTCTCCTTTTTCATTATTATGATTATTTTATTTTTTAGGTTTTCCAGTTTTACAATTACACCTTTTTCCTATTCTTACGCAGTAACTCCGCTTGACTTCCCACCCAGCATTCTATGACAGTTCTTTTTTACATCTTGCTTAGCTGTATATACATTAATTCCTTCACCTTATTTTCCACACTCTCATATCTTTCATATTATCAACTGTTGGTCACGAAGTACCCCCTTATCTGGAATCTATATCTGAGGTCAGTTTTTTGTAAATATCCCCCTAGATACTCCCACTCACTCCTTTCTTATTTTAAATGTCATACTGGTAAGCTCTGCACATTCAGTTAGTTTGTATAGCCATTGTTCTTTCCCTGGGGTCTCTCTTTGTTTCCAGTATCTTGCATCTACTATCCTTGCTGCTATTGTTGCATATAAAAATAGGTCGTGGGCTTTCTTTGGTAACTCATTCCCAATTACACCTAGAAGAAATGCTTCTGTTTTATTGGAGTAAGCAAATTTGAAGATTTTCTTTAACTCATTGTACACCATCTTTCTGATCCAAGTCACCTTGTGTGTAATTCCGCTCCCGAGACAAGATTTCATTTCTCTCTTCTAAGATCTGTACGAGAGCAGCTTGGAGCTTGTGAGGTAGGATTTCATCTTCATCTGAAACCTTTAAAATAAAAGGGGAGGAAGCAGAATGGTGGTAGTTAACATGTATTCCAAAACAGGACCATGTGATGTCACTAAAATGTTTCATGAAGTAATTATGTCACCTACCACATGAAATTATTTCAACATGCAGTTTAAGAGGGCACACCTCATGGCTATACACAAAGTATGGAACCAATTAAAATTTATGTTTAAAGCAGATGGGGTGGTTTCCAATGTTCATCACACACAGAGTGAGCAGACCCACTGAAATTAATGGACTTAAGTAAGTGAAATCCATTTATTTCAGGCAGTGGCATAGCGTGGGGGGTGCAGGGGGGGCCAGCCGCACCGGGCGCAACATCTGGGGTTAGGGCGAATCCACAGGTTAGGGGGCGCAAATCCACGGGTTAGGGGGCGCAAATTACTTGCCTTGCCCCGGTTGCTGACAACCCACGCTACGCCACTGATTTCAGGGGATCTACTCTGAGTATAACTTAATTGTACACCACTCATTATCAAAAATATTTTTAAAAAGCATTGCAGATTTTGATACAACCACTACAGATTTCTAGCCTAGAAGAAGAATTCAAAAACTAAACAAAAATCCAATAAATATTATAAGGTCACATCTTAAGACAGATGCTTTGAATAACCAACTCCCATGCACCGGCTCCAATGCAGAACAGACCAGTGGAGCGAAAAAAGGAGGACTGCTCGGTGTGAAGAGTGTGGATAGGGAGAAGTTATTCTTCCTCTATTGTTATATTAGAAACTGAGGTGGAAGATTCAAGAAAGGGAAAAAGGGCATGCTTCGTCACACATCACATGAACTACAGCCTGCAATTTGCTACCATAAGATGTGGCAATGGCCACTACCATGAACAGAGGATCAGATAAACAGACAGACGATAAGAGAAACTGATGTACTCCTGAGGACCTTTATAGCTTTCTATAATTGAAACCGAAAACAAATCTTAGCAAATTGCTTCTATTTAACCCTTTGGCCTATTTAACCCTTTGGCCTGAACTCCTTAATTCTTGTCCTCAGTTGGATCAAAATCTAGATACAGCTGCCTGCTTTCGCTCTCATGCAAGCCACCCTTCCTTCCCTCTCTGCCTGCTGCCTCTCCACCCACCTTGGCCACTGCTGAAGTTTAAAACTGTAAATTCCTCTGGGCAGAGACCTGTCTTTTGCCATGGACAGAGATACCATTACACAAACAACAACGGCCTGAGATTAGCAATGCCTTTCAAACATTCTAATATACTGAAGTACTAGATATTGGGCAAATGCAATGACCCAGTTACTCCTGAGTACTCCTTAACCAGGAGTTGTGCATTAGAACTATAAAGCCTAATGACATTTCATTTTGCTTGGTGGACAGTTTGCACTGAACAGTTTGTCAGTCTCCCCTGCTTTGCCTGGGGGAGCACCTTCGGGCAACAGGGGAAAAGGGAAGCCAGCAGAGAATGACAACACTAGATATTATTTTAAGAACAGCTGACTACAGGAAACTCTCGACTGTCTAGACTCTAGACAATGAGGAGAAGAACTCTTGTGGAGAGGAAACACAGAAAATAGAAACAGCAAGATGCTAGAGAGACAATAGCTTTCTAAAGACCAAAATACAAGTTACATTACAAGTATACAGTGGTACCTTGGTTTGCAACTGCTTTGGACTACAACCATTTTGGATTACAACCACATCAAACCCGGAAGTGCATGTCCCTTTTTTGGATTACAACCCATTTATTTATTTTTTGGATTACAACCAATTTGGGGGGGGGAGAGACCCCATTGGTAAAAGCGCGCCTTGGGTTACAACCTGTTTTGGTTTACAACCAGACCTCCAGAACGGATTATGGTTGTAAACCAAGGTACCACTGTAGTTTGTCCTTGTGCATTTTTATTTCAGAACAGCAATCATGGGGCAGGCAGCAATGATCAGGACCAGGACTGAAGAAAGTGGGGGAAGGGACTTAAACCTTTAGCACCCATCCCCTAAAAGCTATTTGTGTGAGAAGCAAAGCTGCCATTGGTCCCAGCAGAAGCTTCTCTCTGATGCAAATAGTGACTCAAGGGGGGCGGATTTTCAGCAGAACTATGGCATGGGAAGAAAAGGTTTAAAAAATCTCCACCCCTGCAATTCCCAGCATTTCCAGATAGGGCTGGGAAAGACATCTGCCTTAAACCTGATCTAGACAGGCAATCATCTGACTTGATATAAAGCAGCTTCCTATTTTCCAACAATAACCATAGTTTACAGATTGGACAACACAGCAAACCGAGGTTAATTTAAAGCAGAAGCTTCCAGTCTCATTGCAGCCATGCTGGGGGTGGGGGAGCGATGGAGAGCACAGAAGTCCAAGGGGAGCTAGGCTCATTCCTATCATGCTAAACCACGATGACCATGGGCTCAAGCAGTAGGGACCTCCATTGAACTTAAGACCCATATGCTCATCCTCCTTCTCCCAAGCATGTCTAGGAAAGTGTTTAGTTTCACTTTCCACAAGCTTGTTGTTAGGTGCAAACCAAATATTGTGGTTTAAAAACACACTCTGGTTAATTAAGCAAGCCAGCTTTGTAATCTATTGTTTGAAGTTAAGTTTGATTAGAAACTGACTAAAGTCTGGGGTTCATGGTGACTCCTTCCTGCTCCTGCACATAGTTTGAAAAAATGCTATCTCATTATGTGAGAAGTGGGTCAACTGGAAATTTTGGCCACAGCCCCCTACTAAGTTTCAGCTGTCTTAGGAAATACCACTTCCCCACAGAGAACACTTGTTGATACCTAAGCCACTCAAATGCACAGACAAAAGAAAAACTCCCTTGGGCAATCTTATCTCCCCAGAAGCCCAGCATTCTGCAATCCCTCTTCCCAGTCCTCAGACCCACAAAATGGCAAAACTAACCATCCTTGATGTCCTTTTTCCTCGTCAGTGTAGACAGTTTTGGGCAGAGGAAATCAGGTAAATGGCAAATGGGAACAGATTAAACCCCGACTTCCCCCAGCTCTGCAGTCTCAATCCAATTTGTTCCCTGTTCATTTTAAGCTTAAACAAAGAGTCAGCATATCTGAACATGGATCTCCAATGTGCAGTTTGGTCCTTAGCTTCTTTTGTGTATTTATCCCCACTCCACTGCCTGTAAGGCCCCATTCGGGGTGTGTGGGGAAATTCTTCTGCTTGCTTGTGAAGCAGCCAGTAGCTAAGTAATTTGACTCACCTGTTGTAAAAATGTATCTGCGCACAGATCAACAATCAGTACCTAAGGAAAGAGATAGACGGTTACTGCATATAATCCACAAACCCCTTGTGCAACACACAGTCGTCTATCCTGATTCATATGACACTGTGACAACAGGCTATTGTCTGGCTGCACGGAACAGATAACACAGATCAGATAACATAAGCACAACCCTTCTTATCAAGTGACCGTGGTGTCCATCAATCGTTGGCAATCCAGGATAGGACAAAGTTATCGCTTCATAGCTCTGACTTCAATTCAAGCACTTTGGTGGAAGCTATTGCACATGGAGGGAGTCACATCTACAATGGCAGCACATTCCAATTGAGAAGAGAATGAAGGGGGAGCGGACTCTAAAAATAAAAATTCAGATCCCCAGCCCCATCAGAGTCTTTAAAAAGTTATTCTGAGTAAATGGGCCATTGAGCAAACAGTTATGCTGATACCAATGGAGAGCATTCAACTAACATGTCCCGTCAGGACAAGAATTGCTCTGGAGGGTTGGGGGAATGCCTAGATCAGATTTAGGGGGTATAGGGTGGGAGGAGGGGGACAGAACATTCTACTGCACAAGCAGAAATCCTTGGGCTGATGAACATTCATGTAGCACTACACTGGATACAGTGTATCACTGATGGACTCAAGGTTCGTGCAAGCATAAGAATTAAGCATATTGTCTTAAATGAATAGGTCACCCCAGAACACACCACTACTCCTCACTAATATGGTATAATAACTGGGGCACCACCATCCCTTACATTTCCTCCTGAGGTTTTCTCAGATCTCACCTCTTCAATGGGCAGGTCCTGGAGCTGAGTTAAGGAGCAGGAGAGGATGCCAATAAGGAAAGGGGTAGGTGAGCAGACAATGTCTATCATAGAATCTGGCAGGACAGGGATATAAGTGTGTTGCCAGGTGAACGGGTAGAGTGCTGCAACCACAGCATGACCACATTTGGACAAGGTGCTAAGTGAGGGAAATAAAACACAAAAGCATTAGTCAGTATATGAAGTCCCTGACTGATGAAAAGCACCCCTAATTTAGAGAAATTAATTTAGTACAGGTAAAGGCTAAAATGTGATGTATGTAATGGTCCCATGCAAGAGAAAATATGTGATACTTTTGGAACAGTACCACTGCAAAATAGAGGTAGTTAACTGCAAGAATGAATGCTGTCCCATAATAAATACTCCCTGGTTCCAGAAAGCCAGAATCTTAGTGGGAAAGAATACAGGCTTTTCCATGGCATGAAAGTCTTCTAAGTGCAATTTGTTTTTTATGGAGGAAAATTCGCACATGCTATCTCCCACCACAATTATGAAGTTGTACAGTTCCAAGATGACTTTGCAATGCACTTTTCCTGAGTACAAAGGAGCATAGGAATATAGGAAGCTGCCTTATACCAAGTCAGACGATTGGTCCATCTAGCTAAGCATTGCCTGCACTGACTGGCAGTGGCTCTCCAGCATTTCAGACAAGATTGGAAATGCCAGGGATTGAACCTGGGACCTTCTGCATGCAAAGCAGATGCTCTACCGCTGATCTACAACCCTTCCCCAGGTGGCCCTGCAATTCCAGATTTTGGTGTCAGGTTCCATGCAAGCTACACCTTATGTGCAAACTTATGTAAAGGTAGACCAATAGTCTTTTTCCCCACAGTAATTAATGAATATCTGCTTCATGTTTCCAGAGTTTGCATTTTATGGTGGCTGAATTTGGATGATGATGATGATGATAGTCTATATATGCATTAACAAGAAAAGTTGCAATTATTCTGTGGCATGAAAGGTTCAGAAAGGGCGGGGGGAAACACACGCACACGAAGGTCTTGCCAAGCCAGGCAGGGGACTTGTCATTTCAGTCTCACCTCAAATTGTCAGCAACAAAGATCACCCTCCTTTCCAGCAGGAGAGAAGCGCAGACTTGGATCAAGTGAGAGACACTGAGGCACTTAAACAGGCATTCAAAGTCAACATGTTCCAGACGCGAGTCCAGGGGACGGCAAAGCTCAATTACCTGAGAGCAGACAATTGTAAATGAGTTATGGACAAGAAGTGAGCTATTTTGTTGTTGTGTTCTCTCCTGAAACCCAAAATGTTGAGGCGGTACAGTGGTACCTTGGTTGTCAAACTTAATCCATTCCGGGAGTCTGTTCAACTCCCCGAATGGTTCAAAAACCAAGGCGTGGCTTCCGATTGGCTGCAGGAGCTTCCTGCACTCAATCGGAAGCAGTGGAAGCCACATCAGACGTTCAGCTTCCCAAAAATGTTCACAAACTGGAACACTCACTTGCGGGTTTGCGGTGTTTGGGAGCCAAAACATCCGAGTACCAAGGCGTTTGACAACCAAGGTATGACTGTATTCAATTAAATAATTATAGGAGCAGAATGGCTTCCTCTCCTCCCTCCACACATGCACTATGCCACCCCCAAATCTGCTACGAAGGTTGGGGGAACCCCCAAACAGATTTAAAGGGGTGCACAAAGGGGAAGGGAAGTCCCACTGTGCAAATGGAAGCTCATGCATTTATTTAGGTGTGTGCTCATAGACTTGGCAAGCTCTGAATTGTGTCCCAAAAGGACAGATAAAGGATGCCAGCAACTCAGCAACCCTCTGGAAATTGCTTTATGACTTGCACATTCTGGGCAGTGAAACAAGCCTTCCCTTGGGTTCCTACTGCAATCATGGTGATCATTCTTCACGCCTTTGCTAGGCAATAATGCCTTTAGCTGTTACCTCATTTCCTGCTCCCGGCAGGAAACTCTTCACAGTGATGGTGCGCCCAGGAGCAGGGAACGGTGCCTCCATGACGCTGCGCATGAATGGGTGCACCAGGGCTGGGGACATCTCACGCCTCTTCTCCACTTCATCCAATATCTGCATGAGAAGAATTTACTGTTACAAGACTGGTTCTTCCTGGCCGCGGCACAAGTGAGAAACAGCTGGATAGCTCAGCTGGTTATAGTGTAGTGCTTAGAGCACCAAGACTGCAGTTTTGATCCCCACAAGGGACAGTTCCATATTCCTGCATTGCAGAAGGTTGGACTAGATTATTCTCAGGATCCCTTTCAACTCTATGATTCTATGAAAGCAGAGAGGATTGACACTTCAGCACTTCAGCTGATGTCCTCTCGTAAGATGTACTGTGTTACTGGCACATGATATAAAGGCACATTCATTTCCCTCCCCCAGCACAGATGTGTCCTTCATTGTAATGGCACAACCATCCAGAGAAACCAGTTTCCCAAGTTAATTCACCAGAAAAGTAAGTGAGTGAGTAAGTCACCGTGTCACCAAGTGTGGGCAGACCCCACCCACTCAGGACACACCCCTAGGTGCATCCCCCCAATTCCACCTTCCTCACATTCAATTCCTCACTCCTTCACCTCCTCTAGCTCATTGTGAGCCACTTTCAAAGTTTGTTGTCAGCATTCTTCCAGACTCCAGCCGCCTACACTTCCTTCACAATACTTTATTAAGTCGCGTAATTGCGTATTTAAATGCACACACATCCCATTTGTTTTCCACGGCTGTCTCTTTCACTTTTCTAAGTGGCCACTAGTGTGCCTGGAGTAATAAAGGTAAAGGTAAAGGTACCCCTGCCCGTACGGGCCAGTCTTGACAGACTCTGGGGTTGTGCGCCCATCTCACTTAAGAGGCCGGGGGCCAGCGCTGTCCGGAGACACTTCCGGGTCACGTGGCCAGCGTGACAAAGCTGCATCTGGCGAGCCAGCGCAGCACAAGGAAACGCTGTTTACCTTCCCACTGGTAAGCGGTCCCTATTTATCTACTTGCACCTGGGGGTGCTTTCGAACTGCTAGGTTGGCAGGCGCTGGGACCGAGCAGCGGGAGCGCACCCCGCCGCGGGGATTCGAACCGCCGACCTTTCGATCGGCAAGCCCTAGGTGCTGAGGCTTTTACCCACAGTGCCACCCGCGACCCTGCCTGGAGTAATACTGATCGTGTAATGAGATCTGAGATCTTACTGTATGTTACACTGTGCATCTCAAGACAAATGAGGCGGCGGCAGTTTTACCCTGGGGACAAAGCAGAAGGCAATCTAGTTCAACCCCCTAATCCTATGAAAAACAACGAGTGCGCATTTCCTCCTTGCTCATGAATTCACACCTAAAATCCATCAATATGGTGCATGGAGGTTGTAAATGGTTCAAAGAGAAAGCCAAAAGATGCTTAAAATTGAAATGCTATTAAATGTTAATGTTCGATTATACTTTCCTTTATATCACTGATAATATTGCAGAGAGCAGTTAACAGTTTATCGAAGGCAAACATAAGAACTGCCTTGCTGGATGAGACCAATGGCCCATCTTTCTCTCATGAGGGTCAACCAGATGCCTGTGAGAAGCCCACAAACGGAACATGAGCACAACAGCACTTTCCCCACCTTGGATTCCCAGGAACCGGCATTCAGAGATATACTGCCTCTGACACTGGAGGCAGAACATAGCCATCATGGTTAGTTGCCTATGGGAAGTCCAAAAGGAGCTGCTGGCAAACAATCAGGATGCTTTGTGCAAATCTCACAGATCAGTTTGGCAATGCCACAGCGACTACGTATAATGAAGGACGTGAATCAGAGTTCTGGTTTTGACCAGCTCAGGGCTGCAGTGCCTCGAGGACCGTCTGTCTGACCCAGACCCTGAGATCACCATCTGAGACCCTTCTTTGTGTGCTTCCTCCACAAGAGGTCCAGAGGGTGGCAGCACAAGAACAGGCCTTTTCTGCAGTGGCTCCCCATTTGTGGAATGCTCTTTCCTGGGGGGTTCGCCTGGTGCCTTCATTATGTATCTTTAGGCACCAGGCAAAAACGTTTCCCTATAACCAGGCCCAGAACATTCTATGCCCTTTAAAACATGTCCTTTAAAATTTGTTTTGTTTTGTATTTTGTGTTCTCATGTTGTACTTTTATGTTGTGATCTTCAGATGAAGGGCAGTATACAAATTTAATAACAAGCATTCTAGGGAGTGGACAGCTGTTATGTGATGAAGTCTCTTCAGAATATGTTACAAACCACACTGAACGAATTATTGTCATTTTGCCAGTCTGCAGCCAGCAAGGCAGTTTTCTCTGCAGTCTTCCTCAAAGCACTACCCTTCTCTTCCAGTAAGAAGGGAACTGAAAGCTTGTTTCTTAAGAGCTTCTTTAAATCAAGAGACCACATCCTTTCCAGCCACAACTCTGGGGACTGGGGAAAGCGTGGCTGCCTTTGGATTAACCTTTACTGGTGCTGATTTTGCTTCCACCCCACTAAAGGTGCATTAAGATCCAACCCTTCCCCTCATTTCCTTCACTACAAGGTTGAGGAGCCTGTAGCCCTGCAGATGCTGCTGGACTACAACTCCCATCATCCCTGGCCTGGCCCTGCTAGCTGGAGCAGATGGAGTGCAACTAACTGCTGTGGAGCCACGGGCTCCCCACTCTGGTCGGCAGGTGCTGTGAAAAGATGTGCTATCCCAACAACCAACAGCAACCCTAGAAAGGCATTTTACCACTTTCTCCATGAGGTCCAGGGCAACCCACTCACCTTAGAGAAAAGGTTGAAGCAGCCAAGGCGACTCACCATGCAGTATACCTCAGGCAGTCGTTTGCCTTTCCCTTCTGGCTAAAAAGGCGACAAAAGCAGACCTTTAGGTGCAAAGCAGTGGAACGTGCAAGAAGGCCAGACTGCTAAGGATCTCTCACCCTACTGTCACCTGAGCATCCCTGGTTTCAACTTCTAAATAGTGCATCTTCCCTCCACCCTCCTTTTCCTTCAATATGCCAGGCTTAAGAATTATTTGAAGCTCCTCAGGCATCTAGGCTGCTAGCCACTGCAGTGGCACTGAAAGCCAATCCGTCCACAGGACTGTGGACATGCACTCATCCTTCACCTGTAGCTGCAGAGCTTTCATGCTAGCATCCAAGACAGGGAGCTACTTACCAGGAGCTTCTTGCAATATCCGAACCAGCGGCTGCCATCCTCACCAGTCAGCACAAAGGAAAATGTTTCACTGGGAAAGAGAAAAAAGTAGATTGCCATGTTTACTGAGCGAGCACAGCAGGAGTTAGCCTACCCTGCAGAGGGCCCCATCTTCACAACGTTCATTTCACTGCTGGGCACAAATGACACAGCGCTTGTCCAGTTCCTAAATCTGTTTACAGCAGATATTTCATCAGTGTGCTGCCTTCCAAGATCTCCACCCGCCCAAAATTGACCAGAACTGGCCGCCAAGAGATTACCTCCTTACCCCACCCTTGTTTGCAAGGGTCCCACTGGGGTAGGTAAGCAGTTCATGGTCAGCAATATCTAGGTCACTGCGACACTGCAGTGAATTGGGGGAAGGGTGGGCAGAAAGTAACAAGCAAATAAAAAGATCGCTACAGGGTTGTAGTTTTGTTTGTGCTTTTAAACACTCTTTTCAAGGAAGGGTATTTTTTAAAAAAATCAAATCAATTTCTTCAACTAGCCAAAAGGACACGCTTCCTAACGCATCTCAGTCTGAGAGCTGCAAAACCACGTGAAAGGGGAGACATGTTGCCCTTACCAAGGGCAACCAACCCCACCCTTCAATGCTAATCACTTCTACTCCCAGGGTCACTATTCAGCCCTCAACAAGAGATACCCTAAGAGATGGAAAACCAGCAGCAAGGGACCTCAGGCCTACAAGACCATTTCCCATAAGTCATGCCCAACACCTGTTGTCATCATTTGTTTATGTACTTGAACAATTTGTATACCACTTAATCAGTCATCTCCAAGTGGTCGGTGTACAGGAGACCCAATGCAATAAGACTAAGAATGTGTTAAATTTGTAATATCAGAATTCAGTTTAGAAGCCTGCTGGAAATGAAAGAAAAAAGGCTTCATTAAGCACTGGAACTTAAAGAAGAAGTGACATCGGGTGTGGGGCGGTTTCCTGCCGAAAGGATGGATTGTAAGGTGCTGCTGACCTACTGATCAGAGGCGCCTCTAAACCCCTGTGCCTTTGCAAACTGATTTCAAACCTCCTGGGCAAAGGACGTGGGGTGTGAAGACATCAACAATCAGCCTGCTTACTCCTGAGCTTTGGCCACGCTGGCAATGAAAATGTTATGCCTGATGCCATGGTGACATTGGGTAATTGACACTTTGGTGGCCACACCGATCTGTCAAAATGCCACACAGGGGTTGGAGAAGGTCAGACCCAGGCCCACTGCCTAGGTCCAGTTCCCCACCACTGCTCTCAAGTAATCCAGTTCTTAGCCTAGATTCTCACTAAATAAAAACAATCCATTATACAGTCTCTCACCTCTTTGACTCTGATGTCGGGCACCAGTCTTTGGGGTCAGGAAAACAGAATTTGGGGATGACTTTTAGCCTCTCTTCAGTGTCCTTAGACTGCCGAAAGGGGTGGTCAGGCTGCAGAGGGAACACACGCCACGTCATTGAACACAGCCAGGCAAGCAAAGAGTTTCCTCTCTGGGTGCAGACATGGGGAACTATCCTCCAAGCACACCAAACACCAGCCCCCCTCCCACATCAATTTTTCATCCTCTCCTCTCCTCCAAGAGCTGCTTTTGACTTGAATACCTTGAAAAAGGTACCCCGCTCCCCCCAAATAAAAATAGGTTACAATTTTTCAAAGGCAGAGGAACAGTTTCCAGGTATGATCAGATCAATTCTGCAGTAAGAGTATGCAGGTTACTGATTTCCTTCAGAATTCATTAACCAATTTCCAACAAATGTTTCCAAAGCAGTGCTCAAGTAAAATGTCAGAAAACAGAGTGTATAATAATAATAAAAATAGGCATATGAATATATACATGCCTTGCTATTTCCTGATTAATTTACAGCATGGCCTTCATTGTAAAAAAAACACACCCCTGCCCACTCCAGTCTAGCTTGCTTTACTGTTGAGACTAGTAAAGGCTTTCCAGGAGCTTTGCTTCACTGCAGACTCCCATGCAAGGGAGTGACTGGCACATTGTTTGGAAACAGCACTATTTTCGGAGCTGGCGATAGCCTGTAATCACTGTGCTCATGTTATAATCATTGCCTCGTAATTACTAGGGCAATGTTTCCTGCTGGATCCCAGCCTCAAAGACCCTCCCGTGCAAATCTTGTTAACATCCTACCAAATATCTCCCAGGCAGAGGGAAGGCTAGCAGACTGGCAGGGCGCCATCCACTTTGTCAGCAGTGGCACAAAGAGAAAACACACAGAGAGAGAGAGAGGTCATGGGAGGCGGTGGGATGTTGCTCACTGTGCCTCCTGAGCAATGTAGGCCAACACATCCCCCTCCCTGTTTTTGTTATCAACAGCAACCAGGATGAAGTCAGTGCTGCTCTGGGATTACCATTAAAATTCAGCTGCACTTCCTCATGTCTGGGGGCTGCCCCCAGCAGCGCAGCACTAGAAACTGGTGCATGTTTTGCCCAAACAAAGCTGAGCTTCTTTTCTGGCTCTCTGGCAAAGAGCTGAGCAATCGTTCAAGCCCAGATTTTGCACAGGGGCTTGGGCACAGCCAGCTAGGTCAGCACTTGGGCATTTCCACTAGACCACAGTCCAGCAGGCAACATTTCAGCCTGAGGACGGAAATACATGTTGCTCCCCAATGCATGTAAACATGTAAAGCCCGATGGTTGCTTTTCTTAGGCAGGAGTTTTGGACTGGGAGGGGGGGTGGAACTGGAGAGGGAGCATTTAACCCTTTCTCTGCCCCAAAATCAATTCTCCATCCAAGCTGCTTGCATCGCAACACCTCCGTCAGATTCCAGATGTACCTTTGAGGAAGCAAGCATGCATTTTAAACCCCACAGGATATGTATTTTGGAGGTGCAATTTATTTCAGGCGATGTAGGCCGTCTTTGAGTGTTTTAGAAATAAAACTGAAAGGTGGGGTTAAAACATCACTTACAGATAGATAGACTAGAGATTTATAGAGGTTTATAGGGAAATCTCCCTCCTGAAGCTGCACTTTTTAAGGAAAAGCAGCTGTCAGGCTCTTTTTGCACATATTTTGCATCTGACATGCAATTAGGCTCCAAGGGTGCTCCAGTTCCTAAGGGGCCTAGGACAAATCCCAATGACTGCTACAAAATCAATCTCAGCCACCCACTGCGCTATGGGCCTTTGATAACAGTCTCATTCCCTTACAAGTCACTGAGACTACACAGTGGAATTATTTTAAGAGATACAAAAATGTCAGCTAAGGACTCACAGACCAGATAGTGTACTTGTGCTTCTATTCATCTCAGAGTGTATTATACTGCTACAACAAGAGCAAAGGGGCCCACAATACATATTCAAAATAACATTAAGCTCTGGACAATGGAGACAGACGTCCGCATCGCTATGCCACTCACCTTGCTAGGAAACTGCTGTATAATCTGTGGGGTGTATGTTGCATCTGATGGCTTCTTCTGTAGCGACACCACCACAAAGAGCTCAAAGAGCTGCTGCTCCTGGAACTCGATGAGGTCCCGCTCCAGAGTCTGGTAGTGTGGATTTCTCTTGGACTGAGCCTGTACCTGCAGCAGGCGCTTATGGCGACCTAAGGGAGACAAATGACCTCTTAACTGCTAAAGCCTTTTATCCTGAGTGAAGGAAGGGGAGGCAGCAACAGACAGGAAGAAGGTTGAAGGGTTAGGGGCAGATTAGCCAACATGGTGCCCTCCAGTTCTTGTTGAACTCCATCTCCCATCAGAAAAATTAATTATTAGCAGCAGGCACCTAGCATGGCCAAAGCTCAAGGATTATGGGAGATGTAGTTGGACACACATTTGGAGGGCAATACATTGACCTGGCCTGGATTAAGGAATTTGCTCAAGGTCATGCAGATGGTCAATGATAAAGTTGGGAACAAGGCAAGCTCTGTTCTCCCGCATACCAGTACAGTGGTGCCTCGCAAGACGAAATTAATTCGTTCCGCGAGTTTTGTCGTCTTGCGATTCTTTTCGTCTTGCGAAGCACGGTGTCGGAAAAGTTTTGGAAAAGCTTCAAAAATCACCAAAGTCTTCAAAAACCTCAAAGAAGGCTACCACACCGCGTGCTATGAGTTGCTCCTTGAAGTCAAGTCGCAACTGTATTAACGGTGTTAAGAAAAAGGAAACAAACTTGCAAGACGTTTCCGTCTTGCGAAGCAAGCCCATAGGGAAAATCGTCTTGCGAAGCAGCTCAAAAAACAAAAAACCCTTTCGTCTTGCGAGTTTTCCGTCTTGCGAGGCATTCGTCTTGCAAGGTACCACTGTAAAGGTTGGGAGGAGCAGTAAGCAAGAGACAGCTTGGTAGCAAATTAGTTACGCTGCCCAATCTGAGGCAAAACATACTAACATCTGAAAGCTACAGCACAAGGACAGAACTGGTTTCCTCCTCTCCACCATAGTGAGCTATCATAAAGCATCCCATTCTGAATGGGATTGGAGCAGTATTCAAAACTGCACCAACTGCTGTGACTTAGGCTTCATGCGGCCTGCATGTAAAAAGTCGCACTTCCTTTATTCCAAACCTGACTGCAATGTCTTCCCTTCCCCCCTCTAGCACCTAAGAGAGGGTGCTTATCTGAGTGCCCACACAAGACAGTTTGCAGGATGGATGGAGACATGGCTTGACATTGGTAGGCACTACTGAAGTGTGTCCGTGCTAAGCTACAGGCAAAGCTTTGCAGGCATGGAGAGCAGGAAATGCTGGTGTGTCCAGAGCCACTGGTGCCAGCTTGAGCAGATGAGTCATGACACAGATCCAGTTTGGAGCCTGTTGCTCTAGTTGTTCTTCCTCCAGTGCTTATATGCAAGCCTGGGATAAAGGGCCAAACTCATTATGTATAATCTCACTCCAGTTACTCCTTTTTTCCCAGCAAAGGGCGTTTCACAATCTTGCAGGACCATACAGAGTACAGAAATGAATGGGCTAAAGAGGCGACACTGGAGATGCCTTTGGGAGGGGCGTGTGACCAGCCTCTTAATATATTTTACCACAAGAAGCTCAGTGACTACTTCGTAGCACCATGGAACTGGAGAGAAGCAGCCTCTGCAGCATCTAGATGCCCTAACTCTAACCTGTTCCTTTTTGGATGTCTTCTCTTCACCTTTGGAAAAGGACACAACTGCTTTGGATGGAATCTATTCCCTAAAAGAGTTGGGTTTTTGAGGGGAAACCTCCCTCCTTTGAGGGAACTCATTCCACACTGGCTCATGTGCAGCAACACCCATTCATGCCTGACATGGGATTACCAGGTTTCTCAGAGGATTCTGGTCCACTTTCAAGGTTTATGCAGAGCAACAGCTAAGCTTGTTGGGCTTTGCTGTTGCCCTGTAAAAATCAAATGTGCCCTAGAACCTGTCAAACAGTCACTAGGGAGAGGCTACCCTTCGCAAGAAAATAGTAATAATGACAGACAGGCTGTCTTTCAAGAAAGCCTTCCATAGTTGCTGATTTTCCCATCAAGCAACTGGAACTCCAGAGTTCATGAGGACACAGTTTGAAAGCCACCACCTGAGCTCTAAACATGCCCACTTCCTTCAGATATTTTTTTCCTGTCGGTCACCCTAATCCTTTATTCTCTTCACTGGGATCCTAGGCATGAAGTCCTCATGCCAAAGTTTTAGTAGACATAGCTCCCAAGCAAGCTATGCTCTCCCAAGTACTGAAAGAAATATGCATCCCCTGAGCTCCACAAGCAGCCAGAAATGGGGAACCGGTGGCCCTCCAGTTGTTAATGGTCTACAGCTGCCACCATCTCTGATGGCCAAGCTGGCTGGAGGTAACATGAGTTGGAGACCAACAACATTCAGAGGGCCACAGCTTCCCATCCCTGCTCTAAGCATTCATAGTGAGCCCATTTTGCCACAAACAAATGGTCAATATTCCAAATACTCAAATGGTTCACAGAAGCTATATGCAGCCTGGCCATTTCTAGTAAATATACCAGCAGGTGATCCAGCAGCTATAATTATGCCCCATGAGCTGGCTCAGCCCTTGTGACTCACTCACTTTTTGGCAGATTCTCCGGTTCACTGTCATACCCATTGGTTTCACCTGAAACGATAGAGAATTTCCATCAGAATTTCCCAGCTGGGTGGGAATAGGAAATGCTGGAAGGCAATTGACGCACTAATGACCCATCATGGGCCTAAGGGCACCAAAAGCTGGGCACAGGTGCAACATCTGGCAAAAGCATCTGCTGCCACACAGACTCCAAGTGTTAAACAAAGCAAATAAAACTCATCATATGGTTTTGAGGAGGCATCTTCCATGTTGTGCAATGTAAGGAAGCATCACCATAAATTGTTTAGCACTGCTAGGCAACTTGACAATGCTGATTTGCAAAATGCAGGTCACACAAAGAACACATGGCTCTTTACTAGGCAGTTCAGCACATGCCGGGAAGAAAAGCCGCATAGAAAAACATAGTAGCACAGTTTTTAAAAAACCAGGGACTACTTTATTCTTCTGCAATTTTAGTACAGAACCTTCTACATTATCCTAAGGTCATTAGAGGAAGGGCAGGATAAAAAAGCAGTAAGCAAATATTAAACATAATCAATACTCAAGAGTTGGCAGATATATGCTTACCCCACCAATGTTTGGATATCTGACTAGTAGAACTTTACATAACTCAAAATCTATACCTCTGGCTGGAGAAACTTCTTTTCCTGTCTGGGCCACCAACTTCACCCTCTTCTTCCCTCGTTTGGAGTCAAAGATTTCCTGAATCTTCAACACAAGCTGAAACCCAAAGAACAAAGTGGAAATCAAAAGGGGCCACATGTCTCCCAAGTATCCAGACAAGGATTGTAAAAGCTGGCCATTCACAGAGCCATGTTGGAAAATTTTGAGGTGGGCAGCTACCAAACCCATGTCAAGGATCCATCTAGATGGCAAACTGAATCATCTGGCCTCCGGAAGAAACATACAAACGTGTAATTGAAAAGGATAACAAGGGATGTATATGGACACTGGATATACATGCCACTAGGAGTCCTGACATGGGCCTGATCTTGGGACCAGGTCACAGGGAGAAGTGAAACCTGTGGGCATCTAGAGAACTTCCCACATTACTCTGTAGCATGAAGTGTTTGTTACATCTACAGTCTTGCGCAAAGGCACATTCAACTCCATGCACACAGACCCAAGATTCATAACATAGGTTGGCTTGGCTTTCCAAAGGTGTGCCTATTTAGAGGATCAGGAACATGAAAATCTATGTTCATGCTCCATTACAACCATGTTCACCATTCTAGAATCTGATTGCTCATGTGCTACTGCTGAGGGGGAACCACTGATGCTCTGGCCCCCTCATGCATCACTCACTGCTGGCCATGATCCAACAATGTCTGGAGGGCCACAGATTCTCAAGGAAATGGCAGCAAGGGACCTCCCTTGCCGGGACTGAGGAACAGTTTGGTCCTGGAAATGAAGGGAAGGACTGACCCTTCGAATAAAAGAGAGGGGAACATAGTTCCATATCTGGAGGCAGGCAGGCAGGCAGGCAGGCACTTAGCTACTGGGTGCCCCTTTTTTGAGTTACCTACTTTATGTTGCTCTAAAAAAAACCATGCACTAAGAGATGAGTGGTGGTGGTGGTGGTGGCAGCAGCAGCCAAGCCCATCCAGTTCCATGTGTAGTATCAGGCATCTCAAGCCACAGGCAGACAGAAAGCTCTTCGGCTCAGCATGTCAAGTCATAACCTGCTGGCGCTCTCATCTCCTGTGGAACTGCTTTGCCGCCTGAAAGGCGCGGCACGCAGGCCAAGTTCCCTCTTGCCCGACTTTAAGAATGCATTCGACATTCCAAGCACAGGCCACAGGGTGGGGACCAGTCGTTCCCATCACCACCAGCAATGCACAAGTGCAAGAGGCAAGCAGCAGGTAAATCTGCTCACAGTCCCAACCCTTTCCCTGACCTCGGCAACCCAAGCAGGGTCAGGCGGGCAGAGGAAGAAGGAACCGCAGCAGCAATCTGCTCGGCTGCTCCTGGGCCAGGGCGGTGCACAATGGCGTGCAGCACAACCCGAGGGCATGGCTGCCCTTTTGCAGGAAGCGCTGCACTTCCTCCATCCATTTCCTCCTGCCTCTCTTCCGCTCCTGCAGAGTTTTCCCAGCCTTGATCTTAATCTGAGAGCTACTTCGCACTTTGAAATGGTAGCCCGGTTACACTGGTGTTTGTTGAGACGAAACATGCAAAATGCCAAAGGGGAGAAGGGGTGTGTGTGCATGCCAGGTAGCTGAGACTTTCCACAGCTTTTTGCCACGGAAGCACTGTGGTTTGGAAACATGTTTCCCTGCCCCACACTTTCTAAGCCAGCTGCCACAAACTCTGGCAGTCACAGGGCTGTCACATTTGTCAGCAGCTTCAAGAACCCAGGAAAAGTGGTTGAGAGCTGCAGATATGGCGTCAGGATGCTGGAACGTAGCACATGCTTCTCTGGTGGGGTTGACCAAGATTCTTTGCCACAGTGTGTTTGGGCATCACTCCAGCAATCTTGTGAGTTCAGAGTGAGAGAACAACATGCATTTTCCCTGTCAGTAAATTACTCCTTTACTTTTGGAGGCTGTTTAGGGGTCTCTGTCTGACAAAGGGCACTCATGTGGGACATTTCATCATTCCTCTTGGCACAACATTTATCTTTGCACACTCCAAGAAATGCTGATGTGTAACACTTGGAAAAGGCAACAAGTCTGGCCTGGGGAATATGCTAGCCTTCCCTCCTCCTACCCCCAATTCCCTCTGCCACAGAAGAAAGAGATTTCTACTAGGCTGCGTGGGCCGGCTCAGTCCTTTAGCCTAAAGTAGATGCCAGAATTGGGAGCTTTTATTGCTCAGGTCCCTAGCTAGACAACAATATCTGAATCACATCCTTTTTTTTGCAATGCTTTCTTACAGTAGGGTTACCAAGAGAACTGGTGTGTGTTGTGCACTGATTTTTTAAAAATACAGATGTATGCGAGGTGATATAAAAAGACCCCTAGCTGGACAGGAGTCCAATTTCTCCAGTGCGTAGGCAGCATCAGAAGCGAATCTTAGTTTGCCGGCTACACCAGTCATGCATCTCTGTTACTCACTCACCCACGGGAGGGAGCGGCAGGAAACACATCAGGAAAATGATATTCAAGTTTTATGGAACTGTCTCATTCCTAATAAACTGCTCAGCAGCTTTAAGCCACAAAACACTTTGGAGGTTAAAATGTTAAATCCGGAGTAAGCCACTCCAGAGGAATAAGCTACATGAGCCTAGGCAGAATAAAATGAACTCAGGGTCATGTTGAGCCTTTACAAGCAGCACTGATCACTTGTTTAAAATCAGAATTAAACTTCCAAAGTGAATGGGGGTTAACTGCATATTAACTGCACGTTGCCACATACTGCCTGTGCCCACTTGCTAATCAGCCTGAATAGCTGTCTATGCACAGCAGGACAGCAGCATCCAAATAAACAAAGGAGTGAAATTAATTCAGGCATGGGCTTCCACAAGGAGGACTAGCTAGCTGAATCTTGCACCTAGATTTGAACTAGGTTCAAATCACTGCTCAGCATTGCTGCAGAGGAAGGGTGAAGATCTCTTCATGCTCAGGACCATTCCCAGAGCTGAGTGGGGTGGTGCATGAGCAGGGAAAGAAAGAAAAGACTCTTGCTCCTCTTGCTGCTCCCCCCCCCGGGGTGGGACCCTCAAAGTTTTGAATCGTGCTTCCTCACCCGAGGTAGATTCTTCCTCTTCCTGCTTCCAGCCTCGCCTGCTTTGAAGAACTTCCACTCCGTCAGCGTAACAGGTAGAGTTGTGTCCTTTGGCAGCCTCCCACGCAGGCAGATCCTTGTGGTCTTTAGCTCCAAGGTTTTGCGGTGAAGGAAGTGTGGCTTCGGGGGTAGCTGCACAAAACCCAAAATAAAATAAAAACATGGTTGAGAGTGAAAAGGTTTCACTAGGAAAGTGATTCCCACTAAGCTGAATGTGGGCAGGCACCAATAATGAACAAGAATTCTGCAAATAGGTTGCCTGCTTTTTATGGTAGTGACAATGAAGTAGAAGTGTCTAACAGGCATGGGAACAATCCCTGGTTTGGAGAAGAGCACAGGCCGAAAAGTCCCATTAGTTGAGCAGTGGGGAAATCTAATTAGGCCTGCCTCCTCTCCCACCACCTGCCCAATTCTCCTGAATTACACACCTGTGCATTTAGCAGTTGTTTAGCTTAGTGACTGTCCTCTTCCCCTAAAATCATTTTGGGGCAAAATAGCAGCTAACACAATCTCCCTGATTTGTCACTGGAGAAGCAGGGGGTGGGTGTCATTTCAAGTCAGTTATAATGGGAACCAAGGACACAGGCTTTAAGTGCCTGCCAACCTTTTCTTGGCTCCTCAAAAGTTGTTGGAACTCCAATCAGCCCCAGCCAGCAAGACCAACAACTCAGGGCTGGAGGGCCATAAGGATGGGAAAGGCTAGCATTGTGAATGCGCCTCAGGCTCATTCCTTCACAAGTGGGAGGGATGGAGAGGAAGCATCAGCTTTCAGTCTTGAACAAATGCACTTCCCTATTTTATAGGTGGTAAAAGCACAGTGAGTAGGAGGTCTGAAAAGGGAAGCATACACAGATGCACATGTTTAGGCAACAAAGTGCCTCCCCTGCACTGCTACGAAGACCCCTGTGGTGCTGTAGATACTGGGCATATGGCTTAATCCCCAGGCAGCACAAGCTCCCCTCCCCAAAAGAGTACCCTAGCGCATGTGTGTGGAGGTATGCTCCTAACCCACAGGTCGTGAATGCGCTTCAGCATGCATGCACAAATTTCCCCCTTCCTCTTTTGTTCCCTGCATGGGGAGTGCAGAGTATTGTCTTCGGACAAGGAGAGATCAAGCTAATGCTAACACAGCATAGCGAAGCAGCATTTTACTCTCTAATGGTGAATTCACAGACGTGCAATCTTTAGTCAATAACAGCCAACAGTGGTCAAAGCCACAGTGTCACAGGTTTGCAATCACCCCAAACACACAAAACTTTTCAATGGAAGCAGTTCAAACACTTAGCTCAACGCCACTGAGTCTGTGCATGTCTGAACTTATTCCATCTTAGTCAACTGAATTCCTGTGAAGTGCAGGGACAAAATCCAGCCTTAGGTGGGGATGCAGAGAACAGACATTGAGAAATGGACCTTCACCTTGGGAGGCTTGATGGTGCTCCGGGCAGGAGGCAGCTTCCAAGCAGAGGGGATCCTCCAGAGAGGCTTCACTTTGATGTCTTCATACAGGTTCTCCTTAGCAGGATCTAGGAAAAGGGAGTATCGTGAAGGAGAGAGGCAGAATACCAACATGCTTGCAACAACAAAAGGCACAAACTGGGACCATGTCTATAGCAGAGGAGCGGAACCTCTGGCCCAAAAGCCAATCCTGGCCCACCAGGGGTCCCAATTCAGCCCACAAGGACCACAGCCACCTGTCAATCAGCTGATGGGCATGGGGTGAATTCTACCTTGTTCTGCTATGCAAGCAAGTAGCAAGGAACTCAAGCACAGAGCCAGTGGCTGCAGATAGCAGGTTTCAGCTCACCACCTACTGGTTGATGGGGGGGGGGGTTCAGTCCTGCTGTGGAGCTGAAGCCCAATCACACAGGCAAAACTTGGCAGGTGGGAGGGACAACCCACCTGTCATTAAGATGTCAAAGGTCATGCACAGGATTTTCTTGGTACAACAGACCAATGCAGCTACTGTTTTGAAAATGATTACTCTCTGGCTTTGGTATGCTATACACACACACACACACACACACACACACACACACACACAAACAAAACATCAGAAATCTATCAATTTGTTCTCAGAGAGCTGAGATGAAAACATTCTTTTCTCAAAGCTTGTACAACCAGGAAAAGGCTCCTGAGAATACATCAATTATTTCTATCAGATAAAATGTGGCCCTTCAAATTGTTCTGAAACTACACAGAAATGGGGTGGGGGAGAAGAGACACTTAAAAAGAAAACAGGAAAAATAAGGAGGAAATGAAGAGGACTGAAGGAACTCTGATACGATGGAAGAATGGGGCAGCTTGAGCAGCTTTGGGGGCTGCATAAAATGGCATTAGGGCCCATAGGGTGCCTACTTGTGAACTAACAGGAAGGAAATGGGGAGGAAGAAAGCACAAAGCAGCAGCATACTCTGCAAATCCCCACACCCGCTTCTCTTCAATTTGCTGTTTTGCAGCAGAGAAGTGGTGTTTGATATCACTCTACAAACAGGCATCTATAAACATGTTCAACAGGTCGGCTACAAACTAGTACAATTCATTTCCTCCAAGTGAACTTTGCAACATACCAATAATGTCCTCATAGAGGTTGTCCTCCGATTGCGTGCAATAGAGGCGGACACTTGTGGTGCCATTCAATTCTTCATGGAGCTTTTGGTACTCAATGGCTGCTAGCCGGTTTCGGTAACCTTGGATGTCCTCAAATTCAAAGGACTTTCTGCAAACAAAGCATAGAGTTGCCTTATCATCACACAAGCCTCACAAGCAATAACTTGCCCGCCCCCTATGTTTTGTTAAAGGGCTGCTGTCCCTGTCTAGAGCTGACTGAAATGTTTGTTTTCCTTTTGGAGAATTTTCAGCATAAAACTGCTCTTTTAGAAAAAGTAGTATTATGCAGCTCTGTCTTCAGTTCTTCTCCGTTCAGAACGTATAAAGACAATAGAAAGGGGTGAGATCATTTTTAACACAATTTCTCTCAGAAATTGTTTTTCATGCCTTAAGGCAGTGATGGGGAAACCTGTTCCTGCCCCAGGAGTTGCTGGACTCCCATCAGCCCCAGCCAGCATGGCCAGTGGGCAGACATTATGGGAGTTGTAGTCCAACATACATCTACATTTGAACATATGGGTTGTAATAGTCAATTTCATTTAGACAACTATTTAGACTGATTATATTAATGTATACTAAAACAGGAATGATGAAATACTCTTACTGTGAAAAGTCATCTGGAAATTTATTTTTATTTTTCAATCTTCCCCCCCCCCCATTTTTTTCTGTTACAATTGCAAATAGAAATATTGAAAAGTTGGGGAGAACCTTTCTGATTTCCTGATGATGGAAGAATAAATGTGGGGAAGTGAGAGAAGAGTATGCTTAGCTGTTCCCTAAGATGGGGAAAACCGCAATGATTAGTAAAAGGACTTGCTACAATGAGCAATATCCACCACGGAGCGGGTGGTGCTATGGTCCAAACCACTGGGCTTCATGGGTTTGCTAATTGGAAGATTGACGGTTTGAATCCGCGCAACAGGGTGAGCTCCTGTTGCTCTGTCCCAGCTTCCAGCAACCTAGCAGTTCAAAAGCACACCAGTGCAAGTAGATAAATAGGTACCACTCTGGCGGGAAGGTAAACTGCATTTCCGTGTGCTCTGGCTTGCGTCACGGTGTTACGTTGCACCAGAAGCGGTTTAGTCATGCTGGCCACATGACCCGGAAGGCTGTCTGTGGACAAAAGCCAGCTCCCTAAGCCTGAAAGCGAGATGAGCGCTGCAACCCCATAGTCGCCTTTGACTGGACTTTAACCATCCAGGGGTCCTTTACCTTTACCTACTTGCATAAGAGGAACCAGAGAGATCAACCTGGCACCCACCTCTTGGATCTGCTTCGGATTCCTCTGCTGACCACTTTCTGCCCAGTGTCATGGGAGGTTGAGGCAGGACAGCCACCATTAGACTGACGTTCTGGCGCCTTCCTCTCGGCATAGCCTCCATTAGGGCAATCTGTGTGGTCCTTCTCAGACAAGTATCGGAAAGTCCTTCGTGGTTTGGGTACCGGATTGATGGCTGGCCGCCCCTCCTGACCTTCAACGTCACAGTAGATGTTCTCCAAGCTCTTTGTCGGAGCCAGGTTCAGCTCCTTCTCCGTTGAGCCACAGCTTTCCCGCTTTCTTTTCAGGTCCAAAGCCAGAGCAAGGACTTGGTCGGGAGGAAGGGCTTCTATCTGTTTCCACAGCTCCCGTGAGGTGTAGAAGTTCCCTGGAGGGAGCCTCTCTCCCTGCCAGTCCGCCTCATCCTCGCCTTCAGATATAACACCATTGGGGAGCTGCTCAACCAAGGGGCTCTCTGGAGCCTCTTGGAGCCTCTCCTCTTCCTCCTCAGTCACACAGCAGAGGCGAGAGTTTTCCCGGAAATCTAAGCCAAGGCTCTGAATGTTTGCTAGTCCTTCTGAATGCCTGCTGTGCCCAAGTCCCACCGTCTGTCTCCTGCTCTCTTGACCATACTTGACCCCAAAGTCCTGTGGCTTCTGTCTTTCCTCCTGGCAACCCCCTTGAGTCCGACCCTCCCACTGAGAAATCTTTTGTTTTATGTTCCGGCAGTGGCTACGAGACAGGGTTTGCACAGCAGTGCGGGAAAAGCCAGGATCTGTGCTGCCCGTGGGGTGCATGGCAGGCAACGTACGTTCACATCACAGCACGTTGCCTCCCAGTTGCAGTGAGTGAGATTTGTAATTCCAGAGTCAAGATGCTGAGGGTTTCCAGTCAAATCCAGTTCGGAAAGTAATCCAACAACTGTGCTGAAAGGGGAAACATATTCTGACGGCACCCTGAAGAAAAAGAGAGAAACGGGACATCCATCAGAAGGGGTGCAAAACGTATGCTTTGGACACAATCAACCAGTCCATCCATCAGGTGTCACAAGACACTCTTGGTTTGTTGGTTTGTTTAAATTACTCCAAGGGTCTTTCTGTACATTGCAGGAAACCCAGATTTCCAACTGAATGTACACCTGACCTGGAATTCCAGCCTGTCCCAGCTATCTGACAAGTGTACAATCCACATGTTTGCCTTGTTCACACTTTTTATATTTTTAGGTATACCTTAAAAGCTTAAGCGTATACCTAAATAACCAAACCAAATGTGTGCCTCTGCACATAAGGTAATAACTTCCTGAGCATGAGCAATAAACGGAAGTCTAACATTCCCAAGCTGTGTCAGGGATTGGCTTTGAATACCTCACCCACTTCAGCTTCCCTCAGATCTAGAAATTAAGCAGCCAGGTGAAACTCTGCACCCATCCACCTTTCGTAACTACTAACTATATATTCAAACCTTTTAATGAATACAGCACTTGGCAATTGAAACTGCATTATTATTCTCATTTTACAGAATGTTTCTATGTTCCTTTTGCTGCTACGACCTATCGGGTACTCTTACTGTGAAGGTATTTGTGCAAAAGCCTTTCTTCTTTCAATCCAGGAAGCAAAGAGAATAGAATGTGAAAAGGGAGAGGGCAAAGGAAAAAAATGAATCTTCTAGGTAGTTCACTGCATATTACTGGGTAGCAGCAGAACTGAGGGCAACATAAAGAGAGCCTGCTGGAAAAGACCAGTGGCCTGTCTAGTCCAGTATCCTGTTCTCACATTGGCTAGCATATGCCTATGGGAAGTCTGTAGGCAGCACCTGAGTGCAACATCACTTTCCCACTTGTAAATCTCAGCAACTAGCATTCAAGGGAATTGCATTGGGGGGGGGACTGCAGCCCTTAGTCTAATTTGGGGGGGGCAATAGGGGGGAGCCCAGAGGGAGGATAGTCAAGAAGTGGGATATGGAAGGGAGAAGCTGAAAGGAGATGGGGGGGGGAATTCTCTGCAAGGGATCAATTCATACCATTGGCAAGAGTGATCTGTTTCTCTCTTGGCAGCCTGTGGGGAAGGCAGGAGATAGAAGGAAAGAGACACACAGAGAGAAGGGGGTGTCAGAAAGAGAGAGAAGGGGTGGCCCCACTCATTCCTTTTTGGCTCTGCCCCACCCATACTCACTCCAGCTCTGTCTACCACTGATCCTCAACAGGGGGGGGGGGAAAGCAGTGGGAAAGCAGCACCTCTGCCACCATCAGATTTTGGGGATCTGAACTACCATGGTTGAAAGGCGACTAAGTTACAACAGAACGAGCTGCAGCCCCAGAGTTTGCGCAAGTACTTATGCTTGCTTGGACTGGAGGCCAGGCAGAGACCAGGGTTTTCCTCAGTGTGAAATCCCACCACAACCACAGTCTTCTTTTGCTCAGCAACACTCGGCACACTTACTGAAAAGTTTAACAAGGCCTCCGGGGTCCCAAGGCACAGCTGGAGGCTGATGCTGTCTGTATTTCACAAACAGTAAAACAGGGCGAGACAGTGATGCAAACCACCCACCACCACTGCAGGCGGAGGTGGCAGAGGCGAGTCTTGGACCCAACAGAGCTGGTTCACAGGCTTCTGTCTGCCCCACACCCTGCATAGTGATGACAGGGCGATTGCTGTGTTTTCCCATCATTTGCACAGGTGGGTGAAAGAATCCTCCCAGGCCCAGTATTGCTTCAGATCCCAGTAAAGATCCTCTGAAGGCTGCCCAAGATGCTCTTGTAAGCCCTTAAGGTAAAGAAACTGAAGAAAGAGCACCAGGTGTTCTGGGGTTTGCTACAGCGTACTTACTGGTACTAATATATATCTTTGTGGTTATACTCTCCAGGGCAGTTGCACAACACTGCAGGAACAAAACACCCATAATATTTTCCCATCTCCATAGGACAAGACCAGTGCAAGTGTTCTCTGGCACCAACGAGTAAACAACCAACAACAACTGAACCACCATCCAGAAATGGCATAAACCAGCAGCAGAGGTCACAGCAGCCAGCAGCCCTTTCTCTGCTCACAGAAGTACCAGGTTGTTATCAACACTCAAGAGAGACCCGGCGGGAGAACTAAGCAAAGCCTCAGGTGCAGAAAGGTTCCTACTTTCAGAGACTTCAGGAGTCACAGATCACGTTTCCAAGCTTCCCTCTTTAACTGGGAGCTCTAGAAACTTGTATAGATGAGTGCTGACGATGGGGGTTCTAAAATGGCAAAGACCCTCAGCATTTTCCTTAGGATGAGCCATGGCTAATTTAGTCCTGATTAGGACAAGGGCATTAGAGACAGTGGGAGCTATCCAGTCTGTGGAGAACTCCTTGCATTGAATTTTAGCTTTACTTTTTGACAGGCACCCCACACCTACCCATATTGCTGCCCACATTGCTGCCCGGTGCTTTGACCCACATGGAAATGCCCACCATTTTGCAAGACCCACCCTGACAGGCAAAGAAAGCCCTTCCCCTCCTCCATCAGGCTGTGCTGTTTTGCAAAGCAGCTGGGGCTCCCTTCCTTCCAGGGTTTCAGGAGGTTCCTTTCCAGTCCTACGCAGAAAATTACTATAAATAGGCCTGCCTCAAAGCATCCTGAGCATCTGGGAGTCGGCCTCTTCCACACACCCTTGTGTGGCCTTGATTAGCAGCAGCAGCAGCAATGTGGCCACTCCCCAAAGTAACAGGCTGGCACTGAGTGATAATTCTCTCTCCCCCCTCCCCAAGGAACAGCTGCTGCCATCTCTGGAGGTCATGGAGCCCAAGAGAAGCAAGGGGGTCTGGCTAGCTGGGGTGGCGGTGGGAGAGAGACTACGAATAAAGGAACCCAAATAGTGAGAACAGCCTCCAACTTCTTGCAAAATACCCCAAAATGTTCATCATGTTGCCTGTCTGCCTGAAGACATTGCCCAGCCATTTCCTTCCCCGGTAATATGGCACAAATCCTCTCCATCCTGTTCTTTCCATTCAGAGCCAGACATAGGGCTCATCCAGACTTCATTTTGTGCCACACTTTCCAAACACACATCTGCACTTTAAAGCTGCGTGTCCAAGTGGGTTTTTCTACCCGTCCTGGCGCTTTCCCTGGGAAAACCCTCATTTTACTGCTGAATCATAGCAAAAGACAATCTGCAGAAAACAAGATTGCCATTTGTTCTGATTCAGCGGTAAGACATGGGTTCCCTAGGGAAAGCGCCTGCAAACAAAAAACCACCAAACACTCAGACACAAAGCTTAAAAAAGCCCATACCTGTGCCTAGAAAAGTGGCACAAAATGAAGACTGGCTAATCTATACACTCAGCAAAACCAGTTAACCTTCAGAGACTGTACCATTTCATATTGTGGGAAGGGATGTCCTATCAATATGTGTTATTGATGTAAAAATACTCCTCCACTTTTAAAAAGAGGGGTACTGCATGCAGTTTGGCATCAGGAAATATGATGATATATCTTTCTGTGTTGAAGAGGTTTTTGTTTTTACACGTGGGAGCATTCGGTCATGCTGCTTGAGCTTGAAGTGCTTACAGTAGAGAAAGAATTTTATCATATGTTGTTGTTGTTTTGCTGAAGATGTAAGTTCTGCTCTCTCGCCCCATCCCATTCTGTTGCCTCCCCTCCCAACTGTCCTCCTCTGAAGGGAAGCAGCCTCGTCTAAAAGACGGAAGCAAGCACACCAATTCAGCAAAGGCATCCTACAGCAATTTCCAACTATTACTATCATGGAGGTGATTCTGCCATGCTGACATCTTCAGCAGAATCAAAGAAGGTTCCATAAGCATTTGAACCTGCTGTTAGTCAGACCTCCCACTATAGATACTCCCTGATAATAATTCATCAGTCCCTATTAGGCAGTTGCCCAGGGTCCAAAACCAGAAACAAGCCTGATTGAGGGGGCGGGGAATCCTGTAAGACTTAATCAGGGAAGCAGCACTCTCTCCTACCGAAACACCCCATGCAAATGCTATCTCTACCCCCACATTACCTCAGCAAACATGACCTTGGAAATATGTATTTGTCAAGATAATATGTAGTCCAAGTCTCAGCTCCATCCACCCACATCTGCAAAATGGGAATAATCACACTGGCCTACTTTACAATGCTCTGGTAAGGATTACTAAGCTAATGTACATGAAACAGCTCAAGCACTTGAAAGCAAGGGAGGCTGTGCGGGCTGTGCTCCTCCAGGTGTTGTTGGACTACCGCTCACATCATTCTTGACCATCAGCCATGCTGGCTTAAGCAGTTGGGAGTCCAACAATATCTGGAGAGCCACACATTCCCCACCCTTGTCCTAAAGTAACGTATTTTTCGCTCTATAAGATGCACCAGACCACAAGACGCACCTAGTTTTTGGAGGAGGAAAACAAGAGGGGGGGAAATTCTGAATCTTAGAAGCCAGAACAGCAAGAGGAATCACTACGCAGTGAAAGCAGCAATCCCTCTTGCTGTTCTGACTTCTGGGATAGCTGCGCAGCCTGCATTCGCTCCATAAGACGCACACACATTTCCCCTTACTTTTTAGGAGGGAAAAGGTGAATCTTATAGAGCAAAAAATATGGTAAATATTAAGTATTTTTATCAGTATCATCATCAAAGGTTGAAAAGCCATGGGAAACAAAGGAAAACATATGCTACATTACAGGGACAGTGTTCTTAATATGCAATAATTAGCTCTCCCTGCATACCTACAGTGATATAAATGCAGTAGAGTGGTGGTAATTACTATGGCTTAAACACCAACGTGGATCTTTGTTAACTTATCTTCTGATTGGAGCTGAGCGTGAGAAGCTGAGTCAAGTAGTAATACCATGTAAAGCAGGTTCAGCTCCTACAGGTTGCAGCACATCACACAGGTAACAACACAGGACATCATTTTTAAAAAAAATAACGTGATATAGCCTCATAGATCTTGTGCAAAAACAAGAGCTGCCACATCTGTGTCT